ATGATCATCTTGCATTTTATGCGAAAAATTTATATTTATGTGGGATTTAGAATGTGAAAGAGTACCAGTATTTTGGCGATAACTTTTAAACTACGGTGTGATACAAAACAATTGAAAATTCCACGCCGCAAATTGTCAAATATATACTGTAATTACTGTATTCCCAGAATGATTTTTAACGAGAAATTGCGTCAGAAGTTTGATGACTCGCCTGTTGAAAATTCTATGCTTTTTTCAGTGTCGAAAGTTCGATGGAAAGTGAATTTATTTTTTTCATTTTTTTCTGCCTTACGAACTCCTTAAAATATTCTTCCGTTGGCGAGTATAAAAGTGATTCAAAAGTAGCCCAATACCTTACATTATTTCGGAACGTTCGGAAATTTTGTTTCTGTGACATTATATGCTCTAAAATGTATAAATCCTTTTGTTCGACATTGTATTTCACATTTAAAAATTAAAGTACTGTATGCATGATTGCAAATTCACGGTATTTTTTGGGGATTGTGCAAATCTAGGGCTGGATGAGATCACTCAAAACTTGCTGCGTCATTGCTTATGCATATTGTCTTGTGTATTCAGGCTTGTATAATATTATTCTAGGTTCAGATTACATCATTGTTTTCGAAGATGAGTAACACTTGTCATTCGAGTCTCATCGCGAGATAATCCGCGTATTTAATCATTGCAATGCGTCATCGGTTGACTAAAGCGAATTATTGTAATTCAAATGTGGGACTGTTATTCATAAATACACGACAGAAGTTTACCTGAACGACGAAATAAAAAATATATTCACGATTTTGTGAGTCAAATAGCCCGTTAATCACTTCCTGTATTTTTTGTTGTTGTCTGAAAATAGTTTCTGGCGCACACTTGATTTCTGTTGACTTTCAGCAGGAATGAGTATGAAAACCGAAATTATGACGAAACTATAGTACGTAAAAGTTGGGCAAATATTTTCCCCCACGTTTTTGCATTGTTCATGACGATGAAGCATGCAAATTTGAAACCCTTGGAATGAATTTAAAAAATTCATATTTGATTAAAAATTGGCGACGAAACCCGAAATTGGAATGAAAAATTACGGAAGTCAGGCGAAGATTTTTCTCGCATTTTTTTCACTGTTTATAAATTTGAAACCTTTGGAATGATCATAGGAAAATTGGCATATGAGGAAAACCGAAATTGTGATAAAACTTCGTAGGAGTTAGTCAAATATCCCCCCCCCCCCCCACATTTTTGCATTGTTGATGACGATGAAGCATGACAAGTTTAAACCCTTGGAATGATGATATAAAAATTCATGTTTGATGGAAACCCGAAATCGTAATAAAACTTTTTAAAAATGTTGCCAATACTGTATTTTATTTGTCTCATATTTTCCGGAATATGCCCTTTGAAAATGAAGCTTACGAATATGAAACCTTTGGAATGGTCGTAGAAAAATTGATGTTTGATGAAAACGGGTATCGCAATAAAATGTTAAAACAACTTGACGAATATTTTCTTTCTATCCAATTTTCCTTTAAAAAAAAAACCTGAAACGTTGCCGCTCATCCGAATACTTATTTACATAACTTCCAGATGAAATTTTCTCTCATTTCCCCCCCACTTGGGCTGAAACTAATGTTTCACAGAATCGAAATAAACTTTCATAAAATTTTGATTTTCAAATCTCTTCGCATTTTCACAGGACTGTCAGAGCATCGTGAGTTTCCAGTCGAGCGGGGAAGTCGGAGTCCCAGTGGGACTCATGTCGCCGTCCACCAGTGGATCCCTGGCCCAGTTGCTGACCACTACAACGGCGGCGGCGGCGGTGGCGGCAGCAGCGACAACAACAACAGCATCCGGAGGGACGTCGTCTCCGTCGCCGGTCTGCGGGTCGCCTCGTAACGAAGCCACCGGCGCCGGAATCCCGGCCTCGACGCCCATGAGCACCAAGGCGGAAATGGTGTACCACCTCCTCACGCTGCTGGGCCACCAGGAGCCGCAACACATGAGCCAGACCCTGCTCACCATGTCCCAGTCTCCTCACAACTGCTCCACCATGCGACATTCCGGTCGGTTGGCAACACTTTTGGTTGTGTGTGATTATTGACAAAATACTGGTGGACTCTGCTGCAACAAATTTCAGGGGCCCAGAAAAATAAATTTGTTATGAAGATGATTTTGTTGTGGAGAGCTCTCATGGGATGGGTAGATAACTCGTATGAGACCACACACCAAAAAAATCCCTTATTTAGCAAAAAACTAATTATAGCCTAATTTGCTGAGGCACAGATGGTGGCTCTCGGCAGTAAAATTCTCTCTAAACTGAATTTTTTCTTGTCCCTGAATTTTTTTAGGAGAGAGAGAGAAGGGTGAAGGAAATTACAGGTGGAACGTTTCTACAACACAATACAGGAGACGAGAAGAATATTAGTTGGAAAGATAATTTCTTTTTTTTTGTAGAGATCCCCTATGGGACAAAAAATAAAATAAAATTGATATAAAGCTTAATTAATTGTGGGCAAAATTGTTGTAGAGAGATTTTACTTCGATCCACCCTATGAGGGTTCTCTATACAACGAAATTCTCTCAACGCTGAATTTATCTGATCCCCTTATTTTTTTTTAGGGATAAAGCAAGAGAGATGTCACCTGTATAATCTTTCGAAAGTAGTGAAGTCTAATTTCTCTGTTCAGACGTAATTCCATGAAATTATTCTAATTCAAATTTTTCTTTTTATACAGACTGAAGTGTGCGTTTCAGTTTTTTGATATTTTTGGATTCGTACGCATGCTCTTTTTTTCATTCTCGTTCATTTTCACATTTGATCTTTTGAGACTGACCCAAATATGTTTCGACTCTTCTGATGTCTTCGTATTTCATCCAAGCGCATTTCAACACTATCTATATATCTAATTGCTCATTAACGGGGTCGGCGTTTTTCAAATCTAAAATTTTATCGAAATCGCAAAAATTGTACAGGTTTTCCAAAATTGATGATATTTAGGAAGCAGTTCAGCAGAAAACTTATTGTAATGGAAAAGTAATTGAAAATTAGTTGATTTCAGGTTCAATTGATGAATAAATTCTAAATTTGGGTTTTCCTATTTTTTTTCAGTATTGCAGAAATCATGATGATATTTTTTCTATCTTTTCTTCCCNCACCAGGAGCCGCAACACATGAGCCAGACCCTGCTCACCATGTCCCAGTCTCCTCACAACTGCTCCACCATGCGACATTCCGGTCGGTTGGCAACACTTTTGGTTGTGTGTGATTATTGACAAAATATTGGTTGACAAAATACTGGTGGACTCTGCTGCAACAAAATTCAGGGGCACCAGAAAAATAAATTTGTTGTGAAGATGATTTTGTTGTAGAGAGCTCTCGTGGGATGGGTAGATAACTCGTATGAGACCACACACACAAAAAAATCCCCTATTTAACAAAAAATCAATATAGCCTAATTAGCTGAGGCACAGATGGTGGTTCTCTGCTGCAAAATTCTCTCTAAACTGAATTTTTCTTGTCCCTGAATTTTTTTTAGGAGAGAGAGAGAAGGGTGAAGGAAATTAGAGGTGGAACGTTTCTACAACACAATACAGGAGACGAGAAGAATATTACTGTATTTGGAAAGAGAATTTTTTGTAGAGATCCCCTATGGGACCAAAAATAAAATAAAATTGTTATGAAGCGTAATTAATTGTGGGCAAAATTGTTGTAGAGAGATTTTACTTCGATCCACCCTATGAGGGTTCTCTATACAACGAAATTCTCTCAACACTGAATTTATCTGATCCCCTTATAAAAAAAAATCCCTATTTCGTTCTCTCTACAGTGGACATATTAGAAAGCTTTCATCACTTCAGATTAAAGAGACAAGTCTGCATTAAGGTACTTTAATAAGATTAAGTTTAAAAAGAAAAATATGTCACTGAAGTGTGCGTTTCAGTTTTTTGATATTTTTGGATTCGTACGCATGCTCTTTTTTTCATTCTCGTTCATCTTCACATTTCATCTTTTGATACTGACCCAAATATGCATCGACTCTTCTGATGTCTTCGTATTTCATCCAAGCGCATTTCAACACTATCTATATATCTAATTGCTCATTAACGGGGTCGGCGTTTTTCAAATCTAAAATTTTATCGAAATCGCAAAAATTGTACAGGTTTTCCAAAATTGATGATATTTAGGAAGCAGTTCAGCAGAAAACTTATTGTAATGGAAAAGTAATTGAAAATTAGTTGATTTCAGGTTCAATTGATGACTAAATTCTAAATTTGGGTTTTCCTATTTTTTTTCAGTATTGCAGAAATCATGATGATATTTTTTCTATCTTTTCTTCCCGAATGGACCTTTAGGCTGTTTGGCACTGCTCATCCAGTTGATCCACGGGGACCAGACGGTGTCGAAGCCGCCGAATTGGACAGCTCGTGGCTTGGCCAGAGTCCGGGAGGCGTTATAGCAGTTGCGACTCGTTTTTCACCCGTTGCTTGTGTTCCCAGCAGCTCTTCGGTCCCAAAACGTGTACGAACTCTAATAAGCCCTGATACGGCTTTTCGAGGAGTCCGAACTGGCCTCGTCCAGCAGTGTCGGCGCTTCCAGTCGCGGTGAGATTTCCTTTGCTGCTGGTGTGGAGAATTTCAGTCTGTGACAAGCAAAAATATTTTTTTATTTCGAGGAAAAATGAAGGCTAAAAGTTGAGATTAGAATAACTGTTAATTTTATTGTGCTGCAGGTTTGTTTTTGTTCAACGTTTTCATCTGCCATTTGGATTTAAGACTAAAATGCCTAAATTTCGGTCTGTGAGAATTGAAATAATTTTTATTTAAAGAAGCGAGGGTTACAATTCGAGATTTAGACAGCAAATGAATGTACTGTAATTTGATTGTTTGTTCCAAGTGTTATCCAATATTTAGCAAAAGATTTCTTTCTGAAAATTTTTTTTACTGTCAACAGTAAAACAGAGAACTTGGAAAGATCCGCGACAAAACAAAATTGCTCAGCTATTTACTAGACTGGATCTCCTCTCAAGATTCAGGAGTAATTTCCCTAGATATGTTTCTCCTGTAAAAAAATTTCCGAAAGTTTTTGTATATACTGTACTTAAAAACATGTTTGTCAGGCTCTACGGCCTCTGGTAATTTGCCAAATCCTGTTTTGCACGAAAACATCCTCCCAAGAAAGAACAACATTTTGATGAAATTTTATCCTGAAGTAAGACGTGCACCCCGTTTATAGTGACTCTAAAATTAATACAATAAGACCCAAATTCGAATTTGGACCTGAATTGAGCGTGAATTCAACTAATTTTCAATTATTTCCATACATTATTTTTTTTCTGTTTAAATTGGTCCGAATTTTCCCATTAGAATATACTTTAATGCATACCTAAACTTGAAACATGTATACCCACCTATGAAACCCACCCGATATTTTCTTTTCAATTTCAAGAAAAAAGTGCTCGGGGCAATTGAGTGGTATGGTTTATATATTTTTACTCATTCTAGTCCCTGAAGTTGTTTCTTTCAACTTCACTGAATTTGTTTGAAGTATGATGTGCACCAAAAATTGCCGAAAAAATGTGTACTCGAGTATGACGCGCACATCACTTTTTGAGCATACTCCTTTTTTCTTTTTTTTTTAGAAAAATGAGTGCGGGTGGGACTATTTCTTGTTCGTTTTCTTTTTGCAAAACACCTCACACGCTGAATTTATTTTGAGCAGACAGCAACAACGACAGTCAACCCGGCCCAGCAATGGCGACCCTCATGAAGCTCTCGTTCGACGAAGACCACCGCCACGCCATGACGGGACTCGGAGGGCTGCAAGCCATCGCGGAACTCATGGAAGTGGACCACCTGGCCCACGGGATCATAGGCCTGTCCTCGTCCGGCGGCGCAGTGACCCAATCGTACTCGTCGACGTCGTCGGACGGCCAGCAAGTGTGTGTGACGCTGCGGCGCTATGCTGGCATGGCACTCACGAACCTGACGTTCGGGGACAGTGGGAACAAGGCGACGCTTTGTAGCTATCGAGGCTTCATGCTGGCCCTGGTGGCCCAACTACAGAGCTGCTCAGAAGACCTGCGACAGGTGTGTGTGTGTGTGTGTTTGTGGAAAGGGAAAAATTGATAGGTTTACTGTCGAGATGTTTCGGACGTCGCGTGACAGTGAGAGCGATTTCACTCGGTTCCCATTATCCCTGGGAGATCTACTGGCCGAAATTTATATTTTCACTCATTCTGGTTTTCATAAAGTAATTTTTGAAATTTTACTGAATGTATTTAAAGTATGAAGTGCTAGAAAATATGTATACTCGAGAACGACGCGTGTCCTAATTTTGCAAAAAACTAAAATCGGGCGGCCTTGACACTGATCCGATTTTCAGAGAAAAAATAATAATAATTTGCATGGCAATGAAGTGGTATACATGCCAAAAAGTATTACTGTATAATTTTTTAGGAACTTGAAGAAGTTCCTCGTGCAATTTACTTTACTATAGGAACCTTATATTTAATGTAAAATACTGGCAAACTGTAGCCGTAAAACCTCGTTATGAAGACGCGTTTGGACCTTGGAAAAACCTTCATTATAAACGAGAATGTATTTTGAAACGAAATGAAAATACTGTACCTGTAACTTAATGTATATTGGACAGGGACCCAAAAAATCGTCGTAAGCAATAATTAGTTATAATGAGATTCGTTTTAACGAGACTCTTATTATTTTACATACAGGGACTCTTGGTTGGTGTTGTTCAGTTGAGACGTGTCGAATTCGACGCTGGGAAAATGGGCTTTCGGAACTACAATATTTGATGATTTATCTCCTGTGACTGCTATTGTCGAGGATTTCTTTGGCGCCCAGATTTTGGATTAATTTTGCGTTTTCGCTTGACTTTCAGTCCCAGAATTATTAAAAAAAAAAAAAAAATCCCAGTTATACTTGAGCCACCTGCGATTATTCTGGTGACGTTTGAGCTGGTAATTTTTGTTGTTGTTGCGTTTCTCTGATGCACAGCTGCCATTTGCGGCACATCTGTTTTTTGCGACATTCTTTCGTTACCCTTGGCCTCAAGAATTTACCTGGAAAAAATAATACAGTGCTTGGAAGAAAGCAGATGGTTTGCGAAACATTGATTTCCCTGGTTTTTCTTGTTATGCCTCTCGCAGGTGACGGCGAGTGTGCTTCGAAACCTGAGCTGGAGAGCAGACGTCAACTCGAAACAAGTCCTCCGAGAAGTGGGTTCCGTCTCGAAACTCATGACGGCCGCCATCGAAGCCAACCGAGAATCCACTCTCAAATCCATCCTTTCCGCCCTCTGGAACCTCTCTGCTCACTGTTCCGCCAACAAGGCCGAGATCTGCGCCACGCCGGGCGCCCTCGAATTCCTCGTCGACACCTTGTCCTACGAAGCCGCCTCCAAGACGTTGGCAGTGGTTGAAAACGCCGGCGGCATCCTGAGAAACGTGTCGTCCCACGTGGCTGTTCGCGACGACTACCGACGCGTGTTGCGAGACCGGCATTGTCTGGAGGTGTTGTTGGGTCATTTGAGGTCGCCGAGTCTCACGGTGGTGAGCAATGCGTGTGGCACGTTGTGGAACTTGTCTGCGCGGTCCGGGGAGGATCAGGCGACGCTGTGGGCTCTCGGGGCGCCGCAGATGCTCAAGTCCCTGGTGCATTCCAAGCATAGGATGATTGCTATGGGCTCGTCGGCGGCGTTGAAGAATTTGATGAGTGCGAGGCCAGCTGGGATGGAGTCGAGTTTGGAGGGATCCCTGGGATCGCCGGTTAGTGAAAGCGGGTTTACGCCGCCACCGCCGCCGAGGTTACAGGCGAGGAAGCAAAAAGTCACTCCCGTGAGTGTATTTTTTGTGTTTTTGTGAAGCCTTCTTTGAACGAAAGCACAATGGATTGAGAACATATTGAGACGGAAGCATTCTTAGACGGGGAGAATTTAAGACAGAATCATTTTACGATGTGTGAAATTTAAAAAAGGAAAATTTCAAGGCATGAACAGTCCGAGACATGCAAAATTTGAGACAGAAACCTTTCGTCAAGTTCAAAATTTAAATTTCAAGGTACAGTATGTACTACAGTATTTGTGACACAAAACTTCAAGTTCGGGATAATGTGAGAAAGAAACTTGTCAAGACAGGGAGAATTCGTGGACAAAATCATTTTAAGATGTGAACAAATTCAAACAATAAAAATTTTAAGACGTGTACAGTTTGAGAAATGTCCAATGTGCGACGGAAAACTTTTTGAGAAGTTTAAAATTTGAAATATAAACAATTCAAGGTATGTACGATTTGTGACAGAAATACAGTATTTCAAGATGGGACACTGTGAGACAGGAACCTTTCAAGACGAGGAGAATAATTTTAAGATGCGTAAAATTTGAAATAGAAACATTTTGAGACATTTGCAGTTTAAGGCAGAAACATTTTGAGACATGCACAATTCAAAACAGAAACATTTCAAAACATGTGGAAATTGAGCCAGAAACATTTTGAGAAATGTACAATTTTAAAAAGAAACATCTTGAGATGAATTTCACCAAGGAAATTGCTTTATAGACACCTAGATAAATGAAAAGAGTAACGGTCACAGTATTTGATGCAATAAGATGCATATTTGGAATCTTCTTAGAACGACTATAATTCGTATAATTTGTTGAAGAAAATTCTTACGCTCAACAAAATGAAAGTTTGCATCAAAGACTTTATTCATTTTGAGTATGATCATAGGATACGCAGTTTGAGACGAAAGACGAAGTATTCTTTTTAGTTTTGATACGCTTCTTCTATATCGAAATATTTTCGGTAAAGTTTTTGGAAAAGGGTTGGCAGAAAAAATGTGGCTTCAGTCTTGGACGCAGGTAGTCTTCAACCGTTATTTATAATGTGGTGCTAGCAATTGATTCAATTCTCATGGATTTCAGGAATCGCTAGTCAGCCAGAACCTCGCGGAAACGTGCGAAAACCTCGACCAGAACCTCCATTCGCCGATGAGTCCTGGCCACCCGATGTCTTCGTGGTCGCAGTTGGATTGCGGGAAGCCACCCGGGTATCATGTTGCGTGGCGCCCGACACCATCACATGCACCACCACCACAACAACAGCAACCGCAACAACAACCACCTCAGATACAACTCCAACATTCGCAGACGTCGCGTTGCTTTGTGGAAAGGTCCGATAGCCGGGATTCTGTGCACAGTATTCGTTCGGATTCGTTTTGCGATCGATGGAATCGTCACCCGGTGGTTGAGACCAGTGTGAGAAACAATATGCCTCAGGCACTGGACCTGAGCTGCAGATCGAGGAGTCAAGATCCTTTGTCACAATATGCTGTCAAGGTTTGTATCGAAAACTTGTCGATTTTTTTTTTTTCGAAGTGTCGTTCAGTACGAATCAGTATTGGGGCTTTGAAAAATTTTCCAGATCCCTTGATAATTTCTTTCAGCATTATTTACGAAATGAATAGAGTTTTTGTACGTGAGGCATGAAGGAAAAATTGTGTCCAAGACAATCAAGAATATGAAGAGGCGGATATTCCTTTAAATGTCGTCGTGAGAAAATGCGAATGGATAGAATTTCATTTCACGTGGTGGAAATATCCCAGCTTTGGAAGAATATTGCTTGCGAAAATATTTTGCGGAAATACTCGTATTATTGCGAGAATTGACCGAAAGAAAAAGATTAGAATGAAAAATACTGCGACAGCGTAATTACCTGAAAATTGTTGCCAAGTGCAGTATCCATCATCCTGGATGCCCGTTATCCGGAATCACATGTAAAAGTCCTGTATTTTTCTTTTTCCCAGGACACAAACCCGTTGAAAAGCGTCAACAACAACAACAGCGGCGGAAGTATCAAACAACCGCAATCCAATCCCGCCAACAGCGTCAACAATAACATGACCGAGATGGAATTCGCCGCGAGAGTGAACGAAATCAGTCAAAGTCTGGCTCACCATCAAATCGACGACTGCTTCTCATCTCCGAAACACAAAACCGATGCGTCTAGTCCACCCCCGGATTGCAAGGGCGACGGCAGCGGGGTTTACGCGGAAACTGATTTGGACAATCCCGAGCTCCCGGTGGATTACAGTCTCATTTACGCCGAAGAAGACGATGAGACCAAGTTTAAGCAGGCCAAGTCCGGATCCCCGCCGAAATCCGCCAAGCAACAGTACTACGAATCCAGCTTTCACGACGACGCTGTGAGGACCTATTGTACAGAGGGTACCCCGTATAGCCAGACTCCTTACCTGGTGTCGAATGCGGGGTCCTTAACGGACTTGACTGCGGTGTGTGAGGATGCCAATGCGGGGATCAGGGGTGCAGGTAAACGCGGGCTGTCAGTGTCGGGAAAAGTGGAACAGGCTCAGCAACAGAAAGGCAATGGGGATCACGCGAATGCAGACAAGCCGAAGACGTACTGCGTTGAAGGTAAATTTTCTGTGTTATGTACTGTATACTGTTGCGGTAAAGCAAGATTCAACTGCGAAGAAATATAATTAGTCCTGTGAATTCTGTGAGAGTGAAACTAGTTTATATTAGGAATTTTCGGTAGGTTGTGGTATGGAGTCCTCGATAGTATAGTGGTCAGTATCCCCGCCTGTCACGCGGGAGACCGGGGTTCAATTCCCCGTCGGGGAGGTACTTTTTTTCTGTCGGAGTCTGATCAAAACCCGCGAAGTGAAGCGTGACTTCGCGATTTTACATTGTGGTAAATTTAATTTATTTATTTTTGTTACGGAGTTATCGGGGAAGCAGTTGAGGAAATGTTTGAATATTGTACATTACTGTACCATGAAGTAAGTACCGTATATATAGTTCAGCTAGTCCCCCATCTGTGTCGATATCTTTCAAGTCTAAACCGATGTAGGATCGCGCACGAAGTTGGAGGAAATCTTTTGTTCATTTGCCGAAGATTTTCTCTAATCGCTATCTTGACTTCGGCAAGGTCTTACTCGCGAATTAACACAGAGTAGACCTTTTCTTGAGGACAACCTTCATATATTCCACGACAGTGAACGAAAGCTTTTTTTTTTTTTTTTTTAATCTGAAAATGATTCCAAGATCCGAGATATCCATAGGAAATTTGATCTCCTCTGAATTACCAAAGCCTGCAAATGTGACGCTTGAACTTTATGTCCTCAAAGATCTGGTCAATGTAAACTTCGACCTCATTGTCTTCTCGATATTCAAATTTTGACAAGCAAAACTCTGAACCTTGATCAGGAGATTACCAAATATTACTTAGTAAGCATGAAGTCAGTCCAACGAAATTAGAGCAATGAGAGGAAGCGCAAGCCTGCTAAATTTACATCAAATGAAAAGATGTTCGTACTGTATTCGAATTGTTTCCGGTATTCATATTTTTCTGTGCATAATAAATTTCTGATTATTTCTAGTTTGTCTAATTTTTCTTTGATATCGCTCAGATACTCCATTGGAAATGTCGCATGCCGGCTCACTGAGCAGCATCACAGGCACCGCGAGCGATTGCGGAGCACCCGGCGGCGGTGTACCGAACAACGGCGTCGTTCTAAGAGAGAAAAGTGGTTTATCCCGTGGTTCCGGGACTACCAGGAATGCGAACAGCGTTCCCGTACACCAACAGCAAGAGCAGAGTGAACCCACGAGCAGCAGGTCGTCGCTGGGAGTCGATCCAAGAAGGCAGTCGGAACACATGATGTCGGAGACCTCGGATCTTGGCACTTCGGATTCAGCTGCTACGCTTACAGCCGGTGCCGAGGATGCAATTGATGAAGGGGCTGTGACACCCAGTTTGCACAAAGGTGGGTTATTATACTCCAAATACTGTACAATTTTTGTTTACTGTGCTGAATGGTGATCTGTTTGGGACCGGGATTCAAGGCGTGATTCTGGAGGTCCTCTCACCATCAAGTCCTCGATAGTATAGTGGTCAGTATCCCCGCCTGTCACGCGGGAGACCGGGGTTCAATTCCCCGTCGGGGAGGAACTTTTTCCATTCTTCTACATGTATATATGGCGTGTTGCGGTTATTGAGAAAGTTATTGTTCCTGAAAGTATTTCAACATTTTTTTTCAGCGGGTAAAACGGTTACATTTTGCGCAAAAGAAGAAGAAACGCCTTTGATGTTTTCCAGAGCGAGCTCGTTGGACTCGCTGTCGTCCACTGATCAGCATTCCATTCGAAGCTCCGTCGTTTCTGACTTCAGGTGAGAATATTTTTCAGTTCTTAGATTACATTTGCGGGAATTTAAATTCGAAAGCAAGTCTGGGCCTCTATTTCAAGATTTGAAATCGAAATCAAATTTGGTGATGTTTTTGGAAGCTATATCCAATCAACTTCTCTCATCAGAATGGTGACTTGAATGAAGGGGCCTATATACTTCGCACGTTTGTTTCATTTTTTGGAAGATGCTACTATCAGTTGGAATAATCTTTGAGAAGAAGCAACGTATGCCGTTAGTTCTCGAGAAAACCGTAGTTCAAAAATTGATAAAAAAAAATTAACGGAATCCATTTTGGTGAGATTTTTGGAAACTATTCAAGTTCTCTCATCCGATGAATGACGGAATAGTTTTTGCACATTTGCTCGATTTTTTGGAAGACGCTACAATCAGTTTGAATATTCCTTGACAAGAAGCAAAGTCTACCTTCAGTTCTCGAGACTAGTCCTAGTTTAAACTTTGATTCAGCGTTTTAATTTCCTGTTCAGTATTTATTTTTTCAAATTATGAGATCCAATTTTTTGACAATTTTCGACAGTCGGCGGACGAGCGGAGTGGTTTCCCCGAGTGAATTGCCGGATTCTCCGGGAGGCACAATGCCGCCGAGTCCGAACAGACTGAAGCCGAATCCCAGAGCTTTCGAATCCGGCGGCGACACCGACGCCACTGGCGCCCCGAGAGGCGATAGCGGCAGTAGTCCTGCAGGTGCCACTTCCTCTTCGTCTTCCACGGCCAATGGGCGTCGGGAGGGAAAACCGAGGAGTCGTGTTTCCAGTGGTGGCAAAGGAGGTGGATTACATTTATTTTCTGAAGTCTATTTGATTGAGAATTTTTAAAAATGTTTCGAAATGAACTTGGGAGTCGCCTATATGTAATCCTAAAACCCTTCTCCGTCTCGACCAGCTCAGTCATTACAGTATTTTTTTTTTATCAGGTTTGAAGTACTTTTCTATGAGGAAGTGCGTTGGGAGAACATTTTCCGCTTGTCTGAATTCTTTTTCACCGTGAATTTAATTTAACAGTCCTGAGTTTTCGTTGTAAAAAAAAATAATAAAATAGTTTTTATCTCTGTGTCGAAGTCGAATGGAAGTTTTGGACACTTGCAATGTTTAGTTCGCTTCGGACCATCATTCTGTGCTTCTTCGATTCGAGGATAATTTAAATAAATAATTTCCTCGAATTTTTCAGGAGAAAAACGTAAGCATGAAAACAATCGACTCAGTGGAGACATGGGAGCCTTTGCCGATGAAACGCGTTCGTATGCCGTAGAGGGAACTCCTTTTCTACAGTCACATGCGACCAGTTTGAGTAGTTTGGTGAATTTTGATGACGAAGACGAAGAACAGGAGGGTGTTGTGTTACAGCCGTGTGCCAATCAGGATAGTTCCAAGGCCAAAATTACTCCGTGAGTTGATCAATTCATAATTTTTTCTATCTACATTTTTTACTATGATTTTATGAAGCAATTATATGTGAATGTTTCTACTAATTTAATATTGCTCTTTTATTACGTTAAAATTGACCTTGCATCATCATCAACGACGCGATGAACAATAATAATGAAAAGTTGATAAAAGATATCAACCTTCATGTGCTCAAAGATTTTTATTTGGAATTTCAATCTACTCTTCTACAGTATATTTATGATTGTATTATCAACTTTTAAAAAATTCTTTGGCGTAGTACAGTATATGCTAATCAATGTGGAACTTGTCGGGTGACTTCGGAAATTCACGTGTGACCCAAATTGAAAGAAATTTCGTTTTCTTGAATATTTTGTACAATAATTTAAACTTCGGACTGAGTGAAACTACACCGTATGCGAGATTCCTGGGCAAGAAACATTTTTAGTTTACATGACGTCGTACAATAGTTTGAAATTGTTTAAAATTACTGAGTCTCACTTTTTTGTGACGTTCAATTGTCTCTGTCGATCTGCGTTTTTATTTAGCGTTTACATCATTGCTGATTTTGAGTGCAATATTTATTCATTTGTTTCGTCAAGGCCCGTCAGTAAATTGCCCAAGACAAGTAAACCCGTCGGAGTTGTTGAGCCGACGTCCAAATCGATGCAGAAAAATCATTCCCCAGCAGCATCGACGACTTCTTCAAAGTCAAATTTGCAGTCTGAGAGCAAGATTAATTGTCCTGCTGTAGCCAAAGTGGAACCGCAACGTCGAACGGTGAGATTTCGCATCAATCTCAATTATGCTAGCTTTAAATCACTAATGACTGTATTTGCGTTGAATCGATTTGACTTTTCTGGGGCATTTGATTCCCAAGATTGTTGATGCTACGGAAACGCCTCCCGAATACGTGACTGTGTTTGCGACGGAAGACACACCCGCGAATATTTCTCACGCGGGTTCAACCGGAAATTTGTCGAACCTGTCTTTCCCTTCGGAGCCAAGTTTCACGCATCGACTCAAACAAAATGGGTGAGTTTGGGGGGTTTCTTGATCTTGATGCGAAATTGCATCAAGTGAACGTTGCTCTTTTGTCGAGGAATATTCGAACTGATTCCAGGGTCTTCCGAAAAATCGAACAAATTTGCTAAAACGATTCCTTCATTCACCGGATGAGGGGAACTTGAAAAGTTTCCAAAAATCTCACCAAAATGGATTTTGTCAATTTTTATCAATTTTTAAACTGCTCTCGAGAACTAGAGGCATACGTTGCTTCTTCTCAAAGATTATTCCAACTGATGATAACATCTTCCAAAAAATCAAACAAATGTGCAAAATAGGCCCCTTCATTCAAGTCACCATTCTGATGAGAGAACTCGATTTAATAGCTTCCAAAAATAATGTCAAAATTTATTTCGATTTTAAATCTTATACAACGGCCCGTACGTGTTTGAAATTTGAAATTCCCTCAAATTTTATAAAAAAAATGCGTTTTGTCAATTGTCAAACTTTGATGGTACAGTAGTACAAAACGTGTATAAAATGTATTTTCCTATTCCCTTGACTTTTCAAATTAATAAGGTAGAAAAAAAAATGGTGGGCAATGTGAATTTCAAGTTTGCGTCATAAATTTATATTGTATTTTGGTGCTTTAGATTTATAGCACACGAAAAATTGCTGGAAAGAGGACTTATTGAGCGTTTTAAATTTTTCTACAATTTTCAGAAGACATTTTCGAGTGTTCAGTTACTTGTTTTCTAGAAATTTCAGCCAGATTAGTCTCCGTTTATACCTTAAGCGATATTTTCGTGGTTTGAAAATATTGAGCAAAAAAATAAAGGTTAGAAAAATTGTTGAACTTCTATTGTAATTTTGATTTTTTGGTCACATCTTTGGTAGCTTTGTTTCTTACCGAAAAGCATTTTTCTTAAATACGTACAAAAGAAAAATGGATACTGTAATGTCAAGAATAGTTGTAAGCCAGAACCCATCGTGCGAAGAATTGATCATGTGAGGCGTCCTTTTATTTTTATATACTGTATAGTATATTAATACCAATAATCGTTTTTTTTTTTTCAGAGCAAATGAAGGGAATGCTGGATCAAAAAGCCCATTGGGGAATCAGCCTGGTTCTGACTCCTCGTACAAGTCATCCCGCAGCGCAGGAAAAAAGGCGCCTTTGAGTCCAGAAAGGAAGAAGGAAGAGCCCAAGAGGCTGGTTGCGTGTGACGACGAGGACGGTGACGACGACGACGTTTTGTTGCAATGCATTCAGTCAGCCATGCCCAAGAAAAAGGCGCCTGCAGTTGCTGGAAGTGGCGGCGGAGCCATGTCGACTACCACTGCAAAGTCTAGTAGCGGAAGAACAAGCAGTCGAGAGAAATCTTCTAGTAGACGCAGTCCGTCGAAAACTTCGTGAGTTTCAATTTTTTTTTTTACGTCATGTTAGCCTTATATTGAAACTGTTTTTAAAACCCTCATTATTGCCACCAATCTTTATTTTATTATATGACGAACAGAAATTTTTTTTTCCTGATCGAACGAAATCTTGAGATGTGAGTTATTTTGCGTCCCAATAAACAGCCATTTTTGTTGTTTTCAAGCGGCTCCTTGTTTGAGTCAGTTGTTTTTTCTGCATGAAAAATGGTTACGTTCATACTAACTTGTAAGAAATATGCTGTATTTGGATTTGTAATGTGGTTCTACAGTACCTTAATTTTGGCTTCTTTTTACAATAAAATTATTGGATTTACAATAATTAAAGATTTACAAGTATTGGAATTCAATGAAGAGACCCTTTCTGAAATCATAGAGGAACAAGATAAACTGTTGGCCTCATATGATTTCTCATCAACAATTCTCTCTAAATTGTTCATTCAACTAAACATTATGTGGGAACAGGCTGAAGACCTTGTGCTTTAAATTGGGTTCAGTAACTGCTGTAATTGCTTTAATTCTGGCTTATGCTGCAATTCTTGTTACGGATATTTTGTTTTCAATGTCAGGGAAAAAAGGGGTGTACGCATACACATCAGTTGTGCAGTTGTATTTTGTGGAATGTATTTCCTTTTATTTTTGTCATCCATATGCAGCTATTTTCTCTGTTTCCTATTTTGAAGTGATTAAATGCCTTTGAATGGATTTGGGTTGGGTGGGGGAGGGGGAATGTTGATTGAACCTTGTGAACACTGAATATTGGAAAATAAAGCTTTCTGTTCATTCATTATTGGAGGACAATCTGAAAAAAATTTGAATTGAAGAAGGACATTTTTGATGCTTTTTTTGGCAANGTGACGACGACGACGTTTTGTTGCAATGCATTCAGTCAGCCATGCCCAAGAAAAAGGCGCCTGCAGTTGCTGGAAGTGGCGGCGGAGCCATGTCGACTACCACTGCAAAGTCTAGTAGCGGAAGAACGAGCAGTCGAGAGAAATCTTCTAGTAGACGCAGTCCGTCGAAAACTTCGTGAGTTTAAATTTTTTTAACGTCATGTTAGCCTTATATTGAAACTGCTTTTAAAACCCTCATTATTGCCACCAATTTTTATTTCATTATATGACGAACAGAAAAGTTTTTTTCCTGATCAAACGAAATTTTGAGATGTGAGTTATTTTGCGTCCCAATGGAAAAGCCAATTTTTTTTTGTTTTCGAGCGGCTCCTTGTTTGAGTCAGTTGTTTTTTCTGCAATAAAAATGGTTACGTTCATAGTAACTTGTAAGAAATATGCTGTATTTGGATTTTTAATGTAGTCCTGGTGGTGGTTCTACAGTACCTTAATTTTGGCTTCCTTTTTCAATAAAATTATTGGATCTACAAGAATTAAGAAGGATTTACAAGTACAGTATTGGAATTCAATGAAGAGACCCTTTCTGAAATCATAGAGGAACAAGATAAACTTTTGGCCTTATATGATTTCTCATCAAACATTCTCTCTAAATTGTTCATTCAGCTAAACCTTATCTGGGAACAGGCTGAAGACCTTGTGCTTTAAAATTGGGTTCAGTAACTGCTGCAATTGCTTCAAATACGGCTTATGCTGCAATTTGTGTTACGGATATTTTGTTTTCAATGTCAGGGAAAAAAGGGGTGTATGCATACACATCAGTTGTGCAGTTGTATTTTGTGGAATGTATTTCCTTTTATTTTTGTCATCCATATGCAGCTATTTTCTCTGTTTCCTATTTTGAAGTGATTAAATGCCTTTGAATGGATTTGGGTTGGGTGGGGGAGGGGGAATGTTGATTGAACCTTGTGAACACTGAATATTGGAAAATAAAGCTTTCTGTTCATTCATTATTGGAGGACAATCTGAAAAAAATTTGAATTGAAGAAGGACATTTTTGATGTTTTTTTTGGCAATAGAATCAGTACCTGGAACAAAAGTGGTGACAATTACTTTTTTTTTAATAAAAGTTTTCTAGCCATGTGAATATTATTCTTACTTTGATTTTAATTTTACTGACTGGACTTGACTAATTATTTGTTTGTGTCCATTCAATGAAATTTCAAATATGATTTTGCAGGAAAAATGCGGACCCGGGAGAGTCGAAGCAGCAGCAGCAGCACACGCGTCAAGCGCCGCCAGTCTTCCAGATTCCCCCGCCGCCGCCGCCGCCGAATGTTGATGAGGTGCACGCCGTTAAACCGACGGTGAATCATCGCCACAACCACCGCCACGAGAAATCGTGCAACGACGAAAACGAGGCGCCGCTTTACGAGAATCTGGCGGAGATTTTCGGCGCGGACGCGGGTTGCAAAACATCTGTCCCGCATCCACGAAGCAGAAGCGTGTCTGCTTTGGGAAATGCTGGCTTGGAAGATGATGACGATGAAGACGCCGAGTCGTATTTGTTGCAACGGTGCATCCAGTTTGGGATGCCCAAGAGCAGGTGAAAGATCTTTTATTTTTGAATGTTTTTTTTTTATTTTGACGTTTAAATACGGTTTAAATTGTGCCATTTTATTACGTTTTGAATAATATTTAACGCGTGTTATATTTCATATTCAATCACGGTTTAAATTTTTATATTCAATCACGGTTTAAATTGAGATATTTTATTACCTTTTAAATTTTAAAAGTTATGTGCGTTTTAAATTGTGGTACAGTATTTCATAACAGTACATTTTAAATTTTAATGCAGTATTCAATTAATTTTTAAATTGTAGTACATTATTTAATTACGTTTCAAGTTAAATTGTGATATACAGTATAATGACGTTTCAAATTGAGATATTTTATTACCTTTTGAATTAAAAAATGTATGTACGTTTTGAATTGTGATAGAGTATTTAATTAAATTTAAAATGGTGATGCAGTAATCAATTACATTTTAAATTGTAGTATATTATTTAATTACGTTTTAAGTTAAATTGTGATACCTAATGACGTTTAAAATTGAGATATTTTATTACCTTTTGAATTTAAAAATGTGTGAACGTTTTGAATTGTGATACAGTATTTAATTACATTTTAAATGGTGATGCAGTAATCAATTACATTTTAAATTGTAGTATATTATTTAATTACGTTTTAAGTTGTGATATTTAATTACGTTTTAAATGGTGATGTTTGATTACGTTTTAAATTCTGATTTAAGGCAACATGAAGAACTAACTGACCTCACTTCATGTTGATTTCTTTCAGAGACTCTTGTTCTCAATCATATGACAGTACCTCAATGTTCAAGTTCGTTATTTTTTGAGTGACGATAAGGTTTTCTTTCTCTGAAAAAAGGATGATGGAATGCTTTCTCTTTTTAAACGGGAAACTGTGTTTTCATTGAGACAAAATTTATGATGGTTTCCTGTTTATTGCCAATTTCAGATCCGATTTGAGTGACGCCAAGCCCTTTCAAAGACACCGTTCTGAGCATTCTACGAGACACTCTAAGAAATCTGCTTCTGCGGAACGTCGGAAAGCCTCAGACCGTGTGAATGGGATTTCGAGCATGATGCAACAATCCACCAGCAGCAGTCAAGGTAATACAATGGAGCAAAATGAAGTCAATTTCGATCCATTAACCAGTAATTAAATCTGAATTTTGAGACCCGAGGCTTGTCCATTTTGAAGCATTAATTTTCACGTATTTTCTCATGAAATGGTTAATGTAAATGCATTTTCTGATGTGTCAATTGGTTGATGGAATGAATGAATGAACAGAACACTTTATTTGCCACTTTTCAGCATTCACAAGGTTCAATCAAGATTTCCACAAGCAAACCCCCTTCCCACCCAACCTAAATCCACTCAATGACATTTAATCACTTCAGAGCAGGAAAGCACAAATTGATAACAAAAAATAAAAGAAAATACAATACAAAGGTTTAGTTGAATGAACAAATTAGAGAGAATCTTTGATGAGAAATTATATAAAGCCAACAGTTTATCTTGATCCTTTAAGATTTCAGAAAGGGTCTCTTCATTGAGTGGTTGATGGGAAGTCGTGAACCAAATATGCAAATGCATTTGTCTCAAAAGATGAGAGGCTCATTTTAATTTTCACATTTCTCAAAACACTCGCAACACAATTTCTTATGTACCATATTTCTTATCGGCTTTTAAAATAAATCTCATTCACGCCTCCATTGAAAATCCTAGACCTGGAATTTCAAATTTTTGGATCGAAAATTTCAACTTGAACTTTAATTTCGTTTTTTTTCCTCTCGATAAAAAAGTGGATGCAACCGCCTCAGAAACGCTGACACATTCGCAAATCATCCGTCGGGATGCGAGATCCATGGTGACTGCGCTGATTGCCAATCGGGACTCGATGGTGGACAGCTATGCGTCCAGCACCAGCACGTCGGACAACTTGATGGAAAGTGCGAATCCGCCTCCGGGACTCTTGATGGAGGACAGTGTGGTGGTGAGCAGCAGCATGACGGAGTCTCGGTTGCTGGGGTCTTCTGGGTCGCCCGGGTACCGACCCAATCCCGGGTTTGGTGGCAGCAGCAGGAAGAACGTGCTGGTCAGTGTGAAGATGACGGGTAGCAGCAGCGGTGGGGTTGCAGTTGGCAAGATGGCTGGCAGCAGGGCTCTAGAGGGGTCCATGTCGACGAGCAGCGCGTTTTTTGAGACTGCCAAACCCCCGTTTCCTGAGGACATGGATCATTCCATGATTAGCATTGCCAGCATCACGTCAGAGGTGATTTGACATTTTTGCAGTATACTGTGTGCAAAAAACAATATTCCGGGGTCCAGAAAACAATTCTTTGTAGAGAACATCTATGGGAAAAACACAAATTCTTTTCACACAGAAAATTGTTAAAGACAAGATTTTGTAGAGAGATTCCTCCTGTATATATTTGTCAATCCATTAAGCATAGGTAGCCTTACTTCACAATAATTTTGCCAAGAACAATTTTCTCCATGTAAAAACATTTGTTTGGTCCCATGGGGTTTTCTCCCCAAGTTAAAGACTGCATAAAGGTCATCTAAAACAATTTTTTCTTTTCCGTTGAATTTGTTGTAGAGAGTGTCCATCTGTAGCAGAAAATATTTGTAACTTTCACTGCAATAATTTCATGTGTTCAGTAGAAACAGTTGGATAAAATAGAGACAGTTGGTCAGATCTTCCCAAATAAAAAAAAAAACCTGAGGTACATTAAAATATCATTACAGCAAAGGTTTTGGGACCTGGGAAATTATTATATGAGGAATTTATTAGGTGACTCAAATATTATTGTGGCAGTTCTGGAGGGATGTCAAAAACAAACTTCCCTGAATAGTACTTTGTTAAAAACAAGATTTGTTTTACTGCATTAAGATATCACTGTTACTCAAATTTCCAGTTTATCCCTGTAAAACTAACTTAGAATCAAAGCATTTTAAACTCTCTTACCCCAAAAGTTTTTCTGCCTCTTACCTGCCTTATTTGAATTTGCTGAGGCCTTAGTGTTATTCAAGGGGCGATAAATTTTGAAGCGTATCTTTGAGAAGACTAAGATAAAAGAACCAAATGCTTTTCACAAACAATTGGCAACTTTCTGTAGGTAGGACATCTGTGAATAAAGTACACTTCTAATAATGATGCCAAAAAAAGAGTTTCCTAGATTAACTTGTACAAATAAGGAAAACAATATCTAGCTCAAAAACTCCTTGTTAAATTCACTTGTTTTTAGTCCCTGAATTCAACTTAGAGATGATACGTTTTAAAATATTGCAAAATCCAGAGAAAAGGCATGTTGCACATTCGAAACTTTTGTATGGCCTATCCTCAAAAACAAGATGACCTTCGCTGTTTTTTTTCCAACATTGCTACCTGTATTCGCGCAAACGCAGTAGAAACGAAAACAATTTAAATTAAATGTACGAAATAATTCATTTGTCCAAGATGGCGATGAGCAGTGCGATGAAGAGCAGTGTGACGAGCGAGAACATGTTCGACTTATACCGAACGGCGGCTGCTGCCATGACAGCTGTCTACGTGGACAAGGCCGCCCCGGGCACGGGCAACAAGTCCAGCACCGACGACCTGGACGACTCGGAAATGCTGGCCGACGTTCAGCCGCCGGCGGATCTCGCGTCATCCTCAATCATGGGCGCCTCTCTGTTCAAGTCCGCCTCGCACGAGTCCGCGAGTTCCCACGACATTTCCGGCGATAAGAGAGCAGCGGCGGTGGCGGCGGAAATTGGACGGTGTGCGAGTGGCAAGAAAACGAGTCCGAAAGAAAAGCGACAGATGGACAAGGAGCGTTATCAGACGTATACTCTGGTGGTGCATGGAGGCAATAATAAGCAGGATGATGGAGACATTGGTGAGACCGACTCTACGGCTGCTGCGAGGGCTGATGAAGAGGAGGAAGTGCTTAGGAAGCAGCGGAAGTCCAGATCCGGCGATAAAGAGCGGTACAGGACTCAGACCCTGGAAAGAAAGGTGAATTAGATGGTCATCTTGAGAAAGAAAAAAAAGAACATGGCTTTTAGACGTGGACAATCTCTGCAATGAAACTCAACTGACCAGAAAAAAAATCGATGTAGAGGGAATTTCGTTGTAGAGAATTCCTATAACATGGAGGAGAACCCCATGAGACCATAAGAAAATTCGTTATACTGTACAGAGAAAATTTTTGTAGATGGAATCCACCCGTATCATGCACCTGTTGCACAAATTCAAGAGATGATACCAGAATTGAGGATTAAGATCTGTGTGCAAGAAGTGGGGAGACCAAATCTGTGCAGAAAATTCTGGTATTGCATGGAACTTTCCCTTGCCCGGAGAACTTTGCAGATCACTAAAACTAGTACTGTATACATTTTCAATTTCAGGACAGTTTAACCGATCCAGAACAAAAAAATACAGTACCTCTTGTTCAAACAATTTTGGGTTTACAGTGGGTAATTTTAAAATTGAACTGATGGCTTTTGAGATGTATTTAATCTCATGTGAAAATGCATGAGAATTTATCTGGTTGCAAGAAAATCGCTTTTTGAATTCAGAACTATGTTTTCTAATCCTTAGCAGAATGGAAACCAATTTTTCAAAAATAATTTACTATGTTCTACATTTTCAAGTCAAACTCACAGGGACACAAAAAAAATTTGACCCACAGAGTTTTCATGTTTGCAGGGGGAAGAAACTTGAGGAATTATAGGAAGGTAAAATTGTTGATCTGGGCCTTGAAATGCTGGATAAATGGGTTGATAGGCAGCTTAATTTTTATAGCAAGGGTTAATTTCCAATTAGTCACTCACTTCCTGTTGAAAAGCATCAAGTTACATTTTCACTGCTCTCCTTCCTGAATTCCAAAAATTCAAAATTGTAGTTTTAGAAGTTTGAGGGGGAAAGTTTCTCTCTTAGACAGGTCTATATTACCTAGTTGAAAGTATTCAGACAGGGACTAAATAAAAATTTGAAGGTTTGACTTAGCAAGGTCCAACTGTATTTTAAAATAAAAATAATTTCCCAAACTGATGAAGATTCCCTTCTTTGTAGATATTGTAAGAAATGCAAGGAATCAAAATTGCAGAAGGCAGGTAAACATTGAAATATATTTCTAAAAAGCCTGTTGTACACACCATTTTTTTGTTCAGACTATGCTACATTTTAGTTATACAGGAGGTACTACAGAAAATAATTTGAGTGATGAAAGTTTATTTATTTAATGCATTCAAGGGTCTACTGTACTGTATTTCGTCTCTTCTGATATTAAATGATGATATTAAACAATTCCCAATTTTTCTTTCCTACCATCAGCAGACACCTCAGAGACCGAGATCCAGTCCAGAGGGTTCCTCAGAAACGGATACAGCCGACCGAACCCCGAGGAAATCCGAATCCGACCCTCTGGAAACCGACCTCGACGCCGACGACCAGCATCAGCAGCAGCAGCGTCGCCGCCACCACAGCAGCTCTTCCTCGACGGCGTCCAAGCCCCGCATCGTGAAACCCGACGAAAACGGCAACAACAGCAACACCACCACCACCACTGGGGAGGATCCTGGGGCATCCAAGGCGGTTCGTGGCCGACGGCGTCCGCTCCACGCTCCCAAAACTGGCACCTTCACGAGGCCCAAACCCAGTCCGGAATTGGCGGCGTTGAGAAGTCGAATTCCGGATGTGTCGGATTCGGACTCCACCGTCACTTCTGTCGACTCGTCCACGTTCACACGGCGTCCCAAGTCGTCGGCGTCGCTGGAATCTGCCGGAAGGTGAAAATACTTGAATGTGATGAGAAGTTTCTTTTGCAGGGGGAGAATTCTAGGATGTAAAATGAAAAACGTTTTCCTTGAAGCGGAAATATTGAGTCTTGATGTTTAAAAAAAAAAAGAAAATTTTAAACAAAAAGGATTTTCGCTGGTTCTGATGATTTTCTTGGCGGATTGTTTGTCGTACAGTACAACATCATCATTTGAATGAACTCTCAAGGCCTTGAAAAAAAAAATTGTCTGTGTGAAAATGGTCGTTATGATGAGATTCGTGGTTCTTTGGACATGTGATACGGCAATTTTGAAGGTAACATGTAATACATTCTTTAAAGTACTGTACTTCAAAAAACCAGATAAATGAATGATTGCCATAATTTCCAGGTTCTTTTGTTGAAATGATGGAGAAAATTTGCAAGGAATTGCTCTTATTCCAACCTTCCTTTTCTTTAATTGCATTAAAATATACTCATTTTACTAAAATGTAAGCTGAAACTACGAGATGCATTTGTGAGCAGAGCATTTATTTCTCAACTTGGTATTTCAAAACATTTTTTTTATTGGGCGTTTCAATTTTTAAAATAAAGGTAGATACATTTTGTTCTGAGCGTCACATTTCACCCTGCAATATTTTAGTATTTTCATACGAAAAGAGAAGCATTTATATTTTTTGAAGGTTTTTTAAATATGCGCAAGTTGGCTTTTCCCATATGGGCCAAACATGTCTATGTGGCCGATGGGCACATTATCGAGGCAAAAAAATTACAAAAGAGATTCGAAAGGAAAATTAGATTTTTTCGAAGTAAATTTTATAAAAGTTTCCCATGAAGAATACTGCTGGTACTAAGAAAAAAGTCCTGATACAAATTGACTCTCTCTACGACTAAATTCAAGGGACCAGAAAAAATTCGTTGCAGGGAGAATTTCGTTTTAAATAACTCCTGTAAAATGAGGACAGAACCGAACCATTTATGTTCAAACAAATTCGTTGTTCAGAGAACATTCTTGTGGAGAGTCCAACTGTAACGAGATTCGTTGTAACGGAATTTTATTGTAATGATTACGCCGATTTTAACAAAATATTAACAAACAAAAAATGACGAGCATTTCATACGTTTTTTTTTTTTTAGTTCCACGGCGAAACCCCGGAGTCCCTTGGTCGTTCGCGAAACCAAGACGACCAAACTGCGGAAACAGTCTTCCTCGCCGGCTGCAGCCGACTTACTCCGCAGCTCGAGCAACATCAGCGTGGCCAGCAGCGTGAGCAGTCACGGGTCCCGTCGAACCCCTAAAGTGGAAAGGAAAACCCAACAACCTCAAGTATCTGTGCCGCCGTCCAAGATCGCCATGTTGTGGCGGCGAGCCGACGAAGCGCGTGAAAGCCAGGAAGTTGTGGCGGCGAAAACGACGACGACGATTTCGAAGCGTGCACCGCCGCAGACTGCGACTACTGCCGCCGCTGGCATCGGGAAGAGATTAGCCGGTGCGAGTGGCGGCGCCGGCGCCCCGCCCCCGATCCCTGCGAAACCGAAGATAAAGTTGACGCAGAAAATTGGACGATTTATCAAGGGGAGTAAAGAGACGAAGCCTGCTGCCACGCCGGCTGCAAAGGAGTTCATTTACCGGCCAGTGGTGAAGAAGACTGAAGAGAAGAAGCGGGGAGAACCGCCAGAAGAGCCTGAAGAGAAGACTGAAGAGGTGCTGCTGCAGCAGCAGCAGAAATGAAGATGGTTCGGGGTTGGCGCCTTCTGCTTTATCGCATGCCTCTGCCTCAGTGTTGTCAGGTTTTCTTTCTTCTTTCAAGGAAAAGGGTTAATTTAACATTTGATTAAGAATTGGTATTTTGTTGTTGTTGGAAGCTGCTCCTGCAAGTACAGCATTTGGCAACCCTGAGTCTCATCCTGCCATTTTCTGAGGTTTGAGCCCCTTGTCCATCCAGACCTGAAGTGTCTTCTTCATTTGGGTAGATGTCACCTGCTGTCCAAATAGGATCTTGATTTTAAATCCTTTCAGGTTTTCTTTGTTCATTCAAGGATTAATTTGATGTCAGAACTTTACCTTTTATTTTTGGAAGCTGCTCCTGCCAGTACAGCATTTGGAAACCCTGAGTCTCATCCTGCCATTTTCCGAGTTTTGAGCACTTTGTCCACCCAGACCTGAAGTGTCTTCTTTATTTGGGTAGATGTCACCTGCATTCCAAATAACATCTCTATTTTGAATATTAGATTTACTCAAGGGCTGTACCATGTAATTCGCACACCTGGATATTTTTTCAGATCCTAAAATTATAATGAAAAGATTTCCCTGAGTGAGACGTGCTCCGTATTTTCAGTGATTGAAAAACTACAATACAGTATTTTGGAAAATTGAACATCAGAATTTGAATTTGATTTTTAACTTGAATTGGGTGGGTCCACAATTTTGGAGTAAGCAAAAATTCAAGTTCAGGTATTCCGCCTGGGGCAGGTTATTTTGATTTTGAATTGATAATTATTTCTTCTAATTTTTTGTGGATGAAAGGGACAGGGAATATTCGGATGAGGCTCAGGTTTACCATAACAAACGCGGCTGGAACAATTGAGTAACCTCTCTTTTTTCATCATGAAAGTTTAACATCGAATTCGTTCGGATTTCAGTTTATTTTGAATCCTAGAAGCAATTGTCGCGAAAGTTCAACTCTTTTAAATACTACCCCCCCCCCCCCCTTTGTTTATCTTTTCTCTGAAGAAAAAAAAACTACTTGGTACTTTTATCTTCCCAGACAAAAAGAGAGATTGAGAAAGATGGAAGAGACGAAAAAAATATCTCGAGTACCTTTTGTACTACGTTTTAGGTTGTGTTTAATTTTCGACGGAAGGTGATAAAGCAGTGCCACCAAATTTGTTTTTGTAAAATTTTCGGCGACGTCTCAAGGATTGTACTGTAGTTAGATGCATAGCTCTGTGAATTTTTTCCAATCGGGGGTATTAACTCGGGTGAGGCATTTTTTGTTATTCTATCGCATTTGATATTGTGTCGCTAATTTTGATCCCGTGATCTCGAAGTGTCGGGGATCCATTGGTTTGTTGCTGTACTTGGTTACGTTTCTCGCAGAAAAAAAATGCGTGTTACCGTATTTCCGCGAATATAAGATGACCACTTATTCTAAGAAAATCTTAATTTTTCAGCCCAAGAAACCTTGAAAGAATTTTGAAGTGGGTGTCACTTGCCTCTGTTAAATAGTTACAAGTTGGAATTAGCAAAGCAAACATTTTAAAGAAGAATTTCTCCTTGATAATTATGCATTGAAATCCCAAGTGAAGCCCCATTATTAGTTCTAGTGAAATCAACATTAACGATATATGTTTTGACAAACGGGCCAGTAAAAGAATTTAGTAATAGAAACATTTTCCTTTTCTTCTCCCACATTTGTGCTCACAATTGTAAAGACTCAAATAAATTATCTCAGTGTTGAAATGAGAATTTTCTTCTAACTGAAATCATCTAAGTGAAGAATAAATAATTGAGCATCTTTCAAGCGACATGAATATGACAAGTATTACATAATTCATATTCCTAAGAACTACTTTTCAAGTTGTCCCAAAGTTGCATTTAAGATTTTATTCCTCAGTATTTCATGACTTAATATCTCACACAGTTGAAAGTAAGTTGCTGGCATAATAATTAACCTTGATCAGATTAAGTTCAATAAGTAGGATAATGTGCATCTCTTCAGATAATCAATATTGAAACAATATTGAAACATTCTTTCAACACCTCAGAAAATAACATTTTGCATCAAGGGGCATACTTTTTTTTTGGAGAGTCAATGTTGGAAAAAGTGTGTCTTAATTCCGCGTAAATACGGTATTTTTTCATTACTTCGCTGTGATTTTTCGATCTTAGTAATACGGTTTTTCATCAATCAGCATATCGTGCGAGCCTGCTGGAGACTGAAAACTGCTTACTATAGCTTTCAAATCCAACCCCGGATAAATGATGACGGAATCAATGAGTTTCTATATAGTCTGTAACTCACTATAGATCTCTGCGACAGAAAGCGCCGGACTCGAGCTGTTCAGATTTGAATATTCCGTCAAAAAGAAACAGAAAATTTGTAATCGGGATTTCCCGCGGTAATTTTTTTGCCTAGTAAAAAAAAAAACTTTCTCAGTCCGTGGCGAGAAGTGTTATTTTTGTGTTTTTTTTGTGTCTTGTAGAATCGCGAGGTTGACAGGAACTGAAACGCGATCTGTGTGTGTTTTTTTTTGTGGGACTTCCAGAAAATGGAATTGGGACGAAAGTTGGAAGGAATAAAATTCCTTTTTCGTGATGCTTCCCTGAATATTGACTCGCTTTTACTGAATTTGTTTTAAATTTCTGGTCGCGAATCTGAGTGTTCCTTATTTGTCCAGCTTATCGCCTCTTTGTTACATATATAGAGGGTGGCCCAAAAAGGAATCATTCTTCTAAAATCTCCTGCCACTACGAATTGCTGAATTTCGCCAAGTAAAATTTCCACGGAACAGGTTTGAGCGTTTGACATAACTTTTTGTTTGCTTTGACCGTTTCGAAATTGATGCGCCTTTCTGAAGGGAATAAATGTGAACAGAATTCAGTTCGATGTGAAACAGGTGGACTCTCTCCGCAAAAGTAATTTAAGAAACCAGAAAAAATATTTGAGAAGAGAATTTAATTTTGGAGAGAACTCCTGTGAACATGGGAAGAGGGGCTGAAGAATAACTTGTTGCAGACACGATTATTGTAGAGAAAGTCCACATGTAATTCCTCACCAATTATGGTACAGGGGATAGTCTTTATGCTGAATTTACTCAAGTATTACTGAATTTCCACGAGTAAGATTTTTGTATTTCTTCAAAGAAAGCCCAGAAGCAGTGCAAGTGAACCCATTGGACAGTTGAATCTCTTAGTCAGAAGGACCTACAGATAATTTGACTTGGAAATTTTTTCAATTGAACAAATGTGCATGTTTTTCCTTGAAAATTTTAACATTTTGGAAGACGGAACTGATCAGCTTTTGCCCAGTTAATCACTTAAAGTTTCACTTGAAAATCCTCAAACTACCATGTTTCATCTCTTCCGGAGTTCTTTCCTCCAAGTATAAAGCTCCATAATAATATAGCCCAAAAGCCAGAATGTGCACAGAAGTTGACTTCCTGTACAACAAAATTCAAGGGACCAGAAAAACATTGATTTTTGTTACAGAGAACCCATGTAACAACTGGAAGAAACCCCTCTTGGGACCATACATAAATTCTTTCTACAGAGAATATCACTGGGTAGAGAGAGTCCACCTGTATTGAGGCTACATTGCCAATTTTGAAAGAAAGAAAAAATATGAAACCAAAATGGAGCATTTGCATAAAATGTCCCCTAAACCCATAAGTCTGCTTTAATATAAGATGCACCATAGCGTTTAAAACATTATTAAAATCTATGGTGCAAAAAAAATTAATTTTGATATTTAAAATCCAATTTTAAATGTTTCAAAATTAAATTAAAAATATTATCTTGAAAATTGTTGACATTTTTTCTTCGGGTCACCCTGCAGAATGTAAATCACCCTATCTTCATGAAAACATTCTCACCACCACCACCATCGTTTCCCTTTAAGTGTCGAATCATCTTGTTTTCCCCTTTTCTGCATAGTGCTGTTTTTTTTCCTCCCTGTATCACTGTCGCCATGTCGAACGGTGGAACATGAGAATCTCTGTCTTTGCTAGCCCCCTCCTGTATATACAATCAGTCACTCCATTCTCTTTCTGGAATAAACTGGTGCACATGAAGGGAGAGAAAGAGAGACAGATATTCGGCTGGGGGAAGACCAAAGTACCAGATCTGTCTGTGCTGGTCGCATCAATGTGTCGCTAGATCTTGACGTGGCAAGAAGTGTTCCCTGCTGGGAAAAATCCGTTTCCCATCGATTTATTTGTGGGGTGAAGGGATTTCAGAAAGTTGCTTGATTTCTAAGTGCGCTAGTTTTTGTGCAAATACTCTCAAGTTTGAAGTTTGAATCATATAGCTGAGGGGATTCCCCAACCCGTAGTCTGCAGGAAATTTTCAGCATAATACTGTATTTACTCAAGTACTATATGCCCTCAAGTAAGACACACACACGCGTTTTTCAGTTGGCAATTTTGCTAAAACCTTATTTCTGAGTAAGACGCAAACCCCAATTTTTAGTGAAAACCACAAAATTTTGAAAATAAGAACAAAAAATTTGACTTCAGGCATGAATTGAACAAAAATCTGATCAATTTTCAACATTTTCAGTACAACAATTTTTCTTGCTACATTTGTTCCAAATTTCTCCAATATTATTAAGCATAATGCACACATAACTTCCTAAAACCTTTTGAAAAATTTGTACCCACTCATGACACACACCCCTTTTTTTCTTCTGAAATTTGAGAAAAAAGGTGCGCGTGGTACTTGAGTAAATATGGTACATCCATTAAAAGTAGCAATGAATTCAGTTATCATTATCTAAAACTTTGGAAAGAGAATAATGGCAGTTGAAATCATTTGATGAAAAAGAAAAGTTGGCTTTTCTCCTAATAACACTTCAGACAGATTTTTACTTGCTTAAATAAATTATTTCAATTGTTCTTTGTGAGAAACCTTTCTTCAAGCCCACCTTTCTAATATTTTGATGACATTCAGCTAAAGCTGCTTTATAGGTCCTCAACTTCATTTTTGCAAGAAGCAGAAACATTTATACTTCACATACATTTCATGAAGTGGGATTTTTTTTAAATCTTGAAGATTGATTTCCCCCTATAAGTTCAAGTAAAACTTGAATGCGCCCCTTTTCCTTTGGGGATATACATGTGGTTTTATAGTAAATAAAGTACATAAATTATACACATGTTATAAGAAACATCACACACACAGAACTGGCTTATCATCAAAATTAAAAATCTTTCCATGCAGTCAGATGTTTAAATTTCAACTCCTGACTCAATTTTTGTTGCGTCTTTTTAAAACAGTGAGCAGGAAATTGAAACTTTGACCGCATCAACATCAAAATGGTCCGCAGTTGAGTGGAATGAATTCAAAATTGAACTTACCTCAATTAATGTATTCAGTCATTTTTCGAGTCGGTTTGAAAATCCATTCCACATTTTTTCCCCAGAGCGTTTCCGCAAACCCGGCAAATGGAAGAAGTCCAAAGATGGCCAGATTCCAGAATTCGCAGTCATTGGAGGCGTGGAAGATGGAGAAACGCTCTATGTTGGTAGAGCCGTGTTTGAAGGGGGTGTGATTCCAGGCACAGTGCATCCATCAAGAGGAGTGTGCTCAGTTCCCTATGCAGGAGAAGAATCCTCACACTCCACATATCAGGTATATATTCATGGCAATATAAATTTCAAAAATGTGATTCACAAAGAAGAAAACAAAGCATAGCATGAATTTAATTCCAGCATGTATGATTTCAAACTTATTGAGCCACTTATTGCTATTTCCATGAATGACTCCATTTTTGTAGAGATCATATAACTCATCATACTTGAAAAATTGTGCCAATGTCAGTAAAATAAGTCATGTTATTTCTTGAAATATTTCATAGGTTTGATCTGATATTTCAGGTTAGGGCATCCAGCACTCATTAAAACAGATAGTTAAGAGTTTAAAATAATGGTGTTTGCCTCAGTTATGATTCTGGTATGAATGGTGCTTATACATCCCAATTATAAAACTCTATGCAGTAATTTTAGTGACATATATTCAGCTACCCAAATATTTGATGAATGAAATGGCTGGATAATCTGAATTCTCAACTTTTTTGATGACAAAAATGAAATAGTTCATCAAAAGGAGCACAAATTGGATCTTATTCAACAATGGATTATGGTTGCTCTTCAGTGGGTTAATATTTATCCCATTCACCCTTCTTATACTTCATGTTATTCATAGGCATCAAAAATATAGATAGACTGTATTCTACTGCATTGAAAGATTTCTTTACAATGGAAACATATCTTTGCAGGTCTTTGCCAATTCTAAAGGTGCAGAGTTGGTTTGGATCCCTGCATCTGGGGGTCATGTACCAACAGGGGCAATTGAAGGTGGAAGAGATCCTGGAGGAGAAGGATACTTCATTGGCAGATTCCATCATGAAGGAGCAGTTAGGGTTGGAAAGGTACTTTTTCCTCTAATCAGCACATGAAAATTTTTTTGGGATACACAGTATTGCTTTCAGTCAAGTACTGTACATTTGGGCCTTGAGCATAATGAACACCCCCAAGAAGTAAAATTCTTACACAATGAACCTACATTTGGCTGCCATTTTCCCTAGAGCAATAAACCTGGATTGATGAACAAATCTATAAGTCAATGAGGAAATCAGAAGTATAAATGATCAACATTTCAAATTTGCATGACATTATACTCTGTAGTAAGAATTCAATCAGATATTATAACATTTGTAAGAAAATTTGAATTATCTTCCATGCTTCTAATTTTGCTGCTGACAATCATTTTCCAAGTTGAAAACCTGGCTAATTCAAATTGCCAGTTAATCCCTTGCCAATCCCAGAAATACAATGCAATTAAAAGCTTCTTAACTCATCACTTTTTCGGATCAAACCTCCCTCACTCAAATTTTAAGACCCTTTTTTATTAAATTTAAAGCTGAATTTTAGAACATCTGTCTTAGAAGAAATAAAAATTTTTCTTTTCTGATCCCTACAAGTGAATAAGTATCTTCCTCCATGTTGGAATTCTAGGAAAAACTCACAGTTCTAATAATGTGGTAAGAAAATAATTTTAATTCAACATAACCTTCTAAATATAAAGCCAAATTATCTAGCTTAAAACTTCTCAGAGTCACATTTTTGAACTCCTTTCAAATTGAACTTATAAAGTTATAATCACAGATTTATAAATTATTCCAAATTTCCTTCTGCAGATCCACGGTTCTCATGGGGTATGTTATGTTCCACACAACGGCGCAGAAGTGGCTTCTCCTTATTACGAAGTGTTGGTGATGAAAACAGTTCCCATCGTTATGGACGATTCTGGGTCATCGTCTCCTTCTTCTTCAGATGAAGACTAAAGACTTCGAAGTTGATTTAAAGCTGCTGGGTTCATGCGGATGTGGGAGAAAAAAAAAAACGGAAGGCAATAAAATAGTTATTCATAGAATAACTACAGTACTGTGCTGTATATGGGATCGCACATTTCACATATTTCTCTTGCTGTGCAAAAATATGCCCTTTAGTCTCTTCAAATTCTTTCCACTAGAATAAATAAATATGCCATGAAACCGAATATGCAATTTATTCTTTTTTTTTACTATAATTTAAAAAAAAGTTTTCTTCAAAATCTGTTCTTCAGTGAAGTCTCATTACAACAAATACTGTTTCAACAGATTCTTCAATATGCATTTTTTTAACTCCAATCATGGAATTTTTTTTAATATCATGACAAATTATTCATAATAATAAACATGTATCAGTGTAAATTGTAAGCGTTTCTAATCATGAATTTGGAACATCTCATGGACAAATAATCCATCATTATATTTTTTTTCGGAAGTCCCCCAAATTTTTTGCAACAAGATTTAATTGGAATGGAATTCTACCAGAGAAAATTTGTCATGACTTAAAATACTTTAATCATTTTCATACATAATTGAAAAATATTATTGCAAGGCCAACACATTCTTCAGGAAACATTTCAACAGTGTTTCCAGTCATGAATTCAGAAAATTGAACAAAACATTATTTATCATAAAAATGTCTTCTGAAGTCCACCAAATTAATTGTAACAAGGTGTAACTGTAATGGAATTTTACCTGTAAAAAGGAATGACTTTAAATACTGAACTTATTTTTTCCAATGGAAAAATAAGCTAGTAAGCTATGCATTTAAATTTGCGCAATCCAGAAAATATAAATATTGCAAAGCCCTTATGATGCTCCATAAAAAAATGGGCAAATTTCTTTCAGCAAAAGTTCTCCTCATTCAAAATCAGGCCATGTATTCCTTCACACCCTTGCCACTCAATGCTACAGCAAGCAAGGGATTTGCCAGAGCAACAGCTAAAAAGTCATAGTCTCTGAAAAAGGGGAAAAGCTCTGCCAGCAACAACAAAGCGCCTCCCAGGGCACCAGCATATCTTTTGCTGCCAATGCTCATCCCTGCAATAGCAACTGCCTCCACCACTGAAGTGATGCTGCGGTTGAGCTTGAATACCAAGAAAGTGAGCAACAGGGCTTCCATAATCCCCACAGCCTCCAGGGAATCAGCAGAATATGCCAAGCAAAACTCAGCAGTCAGACAATGCAAGCCAAGGCTTTCAGTGAGAATGGCAAAACAGAGATGCAGCAAGGTCCATATCTCATCCCCTGGGCAGAGAACTGCAAGAAGAAAATCATACAAAAGCAAAGGAAATTTGACATCATCTTTGGCACAGTGTAAAAGCAGCAAATGTCCCATATAATGGTGAAACAGGCAATATTTTTGTAGCTGAAAGATAAAGAAGCTGCTCATAGCTGAAGATATTAACTATTCATATATCAAGTCTTTATTCCATGATAATATGATCTGATTAATAGAATAAGATTGGGCTAATAGTTCCCATGACTCTTCATCTTATGATAATATAATCCATTTAATAAATTAAGACATGAACTAGTTCATGCGGCTCTTCATCTGATGAAGTTATGAACTACTTTAAGTCTGAAATATGAACTAGTTTTTATTAGAAGATATAAACTACTGCATTTCAAAGAGATAGAAATCAGCTTATGAAAGATTTAAAATTACTGAAATTCAATGAAGAGACACTTTTGGAACTCTTAAAGGATCAAGAAATTTTTTTGGCCTAATATGATTTCTCATCAAAGATTCTCTCTAAATTGTTCATTGAACTAAAACTCATACAGAAACAGGCTGAAGACCTTGTGCTTTAAATAAACGTTTACTGCTGCTTTGTCTTCAATATTGGGGATGGGTGGGTGTATGCAACATACCTGTAGGATGTCCAGTTTTATTTTGTGGAGTGTGTTCTCTTTTATTTTTGTCATTTCTTTTTGCTTTGTTTCATGCTTTGAAATGATTGAATGTATTTGGGGGATTTGGGTTGGGTGGGGAGGGGGTTTGGATGCCGGAGTTCTGGTTATGCCTTGTGAATGCTGAAAAGCAGCAAATAAAGTTTTCTGTTCATTCATTCATTCATATAAACTACTGAAGTTACTAGCTGAAGAGATGTGGGGCAAGGGTCAAACTGCAAGTCAACCAACCAGCAAATTTGACCATCCAATTGCATGACAGTTGAATTGAGAAAGGTCAAATTGCAAGGTATACTACCACCTGTACTGTTTAAATATATTCTATAAATCACTATAAAATAGAATAATGACCAGGGCTCACGATTTCTCAGTGCAGACAATGATGATGTCAGGAAAACCAGCCACAGCCATAAATGTGCAAAGAAATATTTCATTGGTCTGTCAACGTCCTGCAAATCTAAGCTTTCACCATCTCATCTCCATGAATGTTAGTCTTTATAAAAAAAACAACCAAACGCACCTGGAGGAATGCCTCATGAAATGGAATCAATTTCTGATGCTCCAGCATGACATGAGAGTAGATGGCTGACACAGCACAAAGAACACCAACTACAATACTCTTCACCCTGGACCAATCTGTGGATGATCCCAGAATTGCTTCAACACTGCTACTTTCTGAGATCATCATTCCAGACAGATTTTTGAAAACTAAAGGTGATCAAATGTAAGATCCATGGTATGACAAAACAAAAAAAGAAATTTTGAATAAACAAAATGATCAGTGTTGAAGCAGTGAAACCTTACATTGCCCACAATTACAGAATAGAAAAATTATGAGGTAAGACAACCTATATTTAATCTTCTTAATGTATTCCTAATGTTAACAATGCACAGACCTTTGAAAGCCCAACATTTATACATTTCTTGTGGAAGAGGGTTTCTCATGAAGCAGTGTAATGAAAGTACTTTAGAAGGTCTTATCTTTTTTTTATTCTTGACTGCTTTGAATTTTAGCTTAGCTGAATTTTACTAAATCAGCACTTTGGTCTCATTCCTTGCCTTGTATTTCCAATTTTGGATAGCCTCAATCAACAAAAAACCCACCCTGAAAACTCAATAAAGCATGGAAACTTACCCAAACTTTAGTAAACAGATAAAAACACAAGGGTTTCTGGTGTGATGATAGAACTGATGTGACAGCAATAAAGAGCTTGAACACGTTTTTAATCCATCTATGAACCAACTACAGTACAGGACAGTAAAGGTGTTGCCCCACAGTTTGACCCCAATGTGTTGCCTGGTAATGATTAAATTGTAAAGCATTCAAATTGTGAGACAATGTCAAATTTGATTTTTTCCACATCAAATTTGAAATTTTGAGAATCACTAAAGGTCAAATTGAAAGTTGACATCTTAGAAAATTCAATCAGAAAATTGTTGGATGGTCAAATTGTGGGATGTCAAATTGCAAGGTACCTCATGTACAGTAGAATCTTATTATAGGGTGGTCTTTGGTATTACAGGTTTTACAGTGTGGGTAAAAAAAACATTTTATACCAGCATATTTTAATTCATAAGGGAGGTATTTTATGAGCTCAATTGGAACAATGCCAATCTTTTCAATAGGAGAATTTGTAATTTTTTTGGCCCCAAAACTTAATTGCAAGCTGAATCCCTGTTTGTAAGCTGAGGCAGAAAGCATAAATGAACATCAACTTGGTCATTTGGAAAGTATATTAGTAGGAGTATTTATTCCCCAGTGTATTTACTAGCAAGATACATAGTAATAATTTTCTACTGCAGTACTTTGTTTGAGGATTGTGAGATCAGACATCTATCTGACTTTATAACACACTTGAGCTTATAACTCACACTTGGCACCAAGTAAAAATCCCCTTTATTACCCAAAGAATCTTCACAATGTCCAGTGAGGGCTGCTATAATAATGTACACCAATAAGAAAAAAAAAGTGAAAAAGCTCAACCAAAACTGCAAAAAATATTTACACAGAACCTTGTAAATACTCCTTACTCTTTACCCCTTACTGTTTTCTCTTACCATTGCCCCATGTGGTGAGTTCACCTTCATAAGTCTCGGGATTGACTAAATCCCTGGATGACACGGACACTGCAAATAGGTATCATCACCACTTGAAAGGAAGAAAATGTCTGCTGTGGCATCACCGAAATCCCTGGCATTGGACAAGAGCCCCAACATGTCATCATCCCCAGTGGTTACTGCAAAGGCTCTAGATGGCGCTCTGGACGATGCACTCACAGCCATTAACCTTTACGTTGACAATAAGATCCAGGAAGGACGACGGTTCACGAACCCTTTAGTGTTGTTTTGAAAGGTGGTACGGCGCGACTACAGCGAGGATGCGCGGAAGCTCCGTCATGACTGATACCTGTTCGTACTGCACTCCATTCTACTTAATGTCAACTTGGAAGAGTTCACAAACTTCAAGGGACCAAGAACAAAAATGTTATTGAATGGAGGTTTCAAGTTATCCCATTTTTGTTTGGGAAAAAAAAATTGGTGATACATATTCAAGGAGTAAAAGTGCTTCCTGGATGAGTTCACAAGATAACCTGAGAATCCTGAGATTCAAGGAAAGGGTTTCCAAATCAAATTAGTCTTCTGCTTTCTTTAAAAGTACATAAAGCAACATTTTTACTGCTTTTTCCTGATGTGTCAATGAAATGCTGTAATAGCCAAAAAGCCTCCAAAAATTCCAAATTACAGTATGGAGGTTTGAGGGAAGGGGGAAGCCTTGGAGTTCAGGTTTCTAATCTATACCTTTTAAAAGAATTCAGACAGGGACTTTATACAATTATATTTAGTAACAATAAGATAAAATTTTGTTAGAAAATATAATTTTGTTAAATTATATTTTGTAAAAAAAACTCTATACTAAAAAAACTCTTAACTGCAACAAAATTGTATGCTTCAAAAAAATGCTGGTCTGTAACAAAATGCTATTCTTAGAAAAATGCTATTCTTAAACAAAATTTTATTCTGTGACAACTGTCTCTACTGTAAGAAAATTATATTCTGTCTAAAAAATATAGCTAGCAAAAAATTAAATTCAGCAAAAAATTATATTCTGCAAGAAAATTATATTCTGTAAGAAAATTATATTCTGTAAGAAAATTATATTCTGTAAGAAAATTATATTCTGTAAGAAAATTATTTTCTGTAAGAAAATTATATTCTGTGAGAAAATTATATTCTGTAAGAAAATTTTCTTCTGCGACAAAATGTATTCTGTAAAAAAACTATACATTCTGTAACAAGATTTTCACCATAAGAAAATTATATTTTGGAGCCAAAGTTTACTTTCATGTAAAAAAAAAATCCATACTCCCCAAATAAAGAAATGAATAAATTATATTAAAACAAAATGTTACCTTCAATAAAAATAATTGGAAATAAAAAAAAAATTCTGCAACAAAATTATACGCTGTAACAAAATGATCTAATTCTATAGAAAAATATTGTGATTTTTTCCACTTAAAAATATTTATTTTGCCACCCGAATTTTACTTTCTCACTAAAGCAATGACACAATATTTTTTTCTGCCCCAAATAACAGAATAAATTACATTCAAAACAAATTTTCGCCTTCCATGGAAAAAGAATAAAAAATTCAATATCTTTCTTCCGCCCCCCCTCCTCCCCTCCAAAAAAAAAAAAAAAAAAAAAACAGTCGCGCAATTGCCATAGTTTCGCGCAGCATCGAAAGCTGCGACCGCGCGCGAATGAAAACCGCCCCGGGGCGTCCATCGCTCGTCGCCAATTTCGCGCTTTTGACCGACGCGCAAATGCACGCGGAACTCTGCCACGCGGAATGCAACCTCGCCAAGGCCATTCTGCACCTCATCGAGGAAGAGTCCGGCGTGGTGGCCCTCACCAAGGCCGCAGTGGCCTTGAAAAAAGTGCAAATCGGCTACGCCCTGTGCCGCCAAATGATGGACAAGGGCAAGTTCTCGACGAAAAAGAGCAAAGACTGTTTCGCCGTGGGTGTGCACTTGGGCCTGGGTGCCGTGCACTTGTTTCTGGGCTCTGCCCCGGAAAAGGTCGTTCGCATGATCGACGTGGGCAACACAAAGTTCAGCTCGGAAACTGGGAAAACCTTGTTGCAAAAGGGGTTCGACACCAAGGGCACTGCGAGGACCGACATTTGCGGAATTGTACTGCTCATGTACTACATGTACATCAACTTCATTTGGGGCATCAGTCCTGTGCCATTTGACGCCATTGATCCTGTCATGGATTACTTTCTAAGAACACATCCCAAGGTACAGTACAGTACAGTATTTGAACTGTAATTGAGTCAGCAAAATAAAATTCCAATAATTATGTACAGTACTAAAACAGCGAGACTCCAAGATTAGGACATAATTGGTGCATCAAGAGTGTCCCTAAGTTAAAATGTCCCCAAGTTGTGTCTTGTTTTTTTAGACTTGAATTAAATAATTTTGATGGGTATTTTATGGAAGAAATATTCATCAGAATTCCAAGAAGAAAAAAAAATTGTCTGCCAATTGAAATTGATTATATACAGTGAGACCTCAACCTGTGGACAATTTGACACAGGGACACTTATTTTATAATAAAAATGACCCAACATGAGGACACTGACTCAACGTAGGGACATTTTTTTATAAAATTGAAAATAAATTTCAGGCCAAATTACAAGAAACAGATATTTCCAACCCTAAAATTGATGTGAGAAAAGTTCTTTGGCATTTCTCTCACCAATTTACCCTCCATTATGCTAATTTAAAAAAAGTACCTCCAGCAGAGAGGGACTTCGTTCTCTCTTTTTCACTTGAATATTTTTTTAAACTGAGAATGCCAACATTTCCATGTACTGTACAGAGGTATCAGTATTAAATTCCCCAAATCCCCATATTGTCTAGAAATATATTGATTGGAATCATTTTAAATGGGAGACAATTTTTATTTTCTTGGAATTATGGTGAGTATTTTGTACATAAAACACCAATTAAGAATTATATAATGTAAGTCTAAGGGAAAATGAGACTTGACTTATGGACATTTCAACTTGGGGACACTCTTGATGCACCAATTACGTCCACATCTCAGGGTCTCACTGTATTTCAACTCAATTAGACCATTTGGAGCATTGGTTACAGTGCCTCTGTACAGCACTTCAAAACGTTGGCAGCTGTAAAAATAATAGTCAAGTCACAAAGAGAGAACTAAGTCCCTCTATGCATTAGGTAATTTCTTTAATTAGCTGAATGGATGGGAGAATCATGGGGAAAATGCCAAAGATTTTTTTTTTGCTTAGATACTAGGGTTGAAAATATCAAGTTTCTTACAATTCAGCATGATAAAAGTCACTTTTCCTGAAACTTATTGGCAATTATATCATGCAATGTCTGCATGTGGAGTCTGTGTCCACATGTCAAGCCTTTTTAATGCCTTTTTGATTGGAAAACAACTATCCTTGTCCTATGCACTGATATGAAAATTTCTTCCTCCTGGTACTTCAGTATGTTCAATCTTGTGTTGTAAAAATTGTTCCAGCTACAAAATTCAAACTATTTCCTGTGCACTGACAATCATTTGTTTTTCTGCTCTTTGTTTTTCTTTAGTTCAATTGTTAAAATAATCTTTGATGGTCTTGGTTTTTTTTTAAATATTCAATGGTCAATTGTCTTTTGGGTCCTTGGAATGGATTAAATTCTTCCCCACTAAAGTCTATGGCAAAATCACAAATTTGTTGTTGCCAAAATTTTGTCAGGAACCAATCAATTTCATTACTTGAGGGTCCACTGTATTTTCATAGGGAGCTGTGACCCTGTTCCTCAAGGGTAAACATGACCAACTCATGGGAGACTTTCTGGAATCCAACAAGAGCTTGAAAGAAGCCATTTCAGTGGTGCCAGAAATGCCAGCATTTCATGGGGCCTGTCACTGGGAACTCATGTTCAACTGCCTCCTCACTGGGGAATACCAGCAAGGGATCCATTTTGCAGACCTGCTGCTCAAACACTCTGCCTGGTCAAAGTGCTCCTATGCCTATATGAAGGCCGCCATGATGATAGAGTCTGGTGGACCAGTGGACCAGATTCGCACACTCATGAGGAATATACCGCAAATGAAGCGCGTTTTTGGCACCAAAGCGTTGCCAACTGAGAATTTTTTCGAATTTCGCGCAGGGCGGTACTTGTCACAAGGTGGCAAGTTGGTTTGTCCCGCTATTGAGCAGGTGTACTTGTGGAGAGGGTTCCAGTTGATTCGCAACAGGAAAGATGTTTTGGACAAGGTGAAATATTTTTGGGCCCATCATCACTTTTTGAGGCAAAAGCAACTCAAATTCAATTTGAATATGGAAGATCCCCAAGCACAGTTTCTTTTAAATTGCAAATAAAATATTCCTTGAATTTTTTTTTTTTTAAAGACCCAGGTTAAAAAATATAATAAACATTTTTTTCAGTATCACTTTTGGTTTTCAACATCAAAACATGATTTCTTCCAAGTTATACAGAAATTGAAAAAATTAAAATATTGAAAATCTCACCAAGAGACCTTGAAACTGGTATTTTCTAGCAAATTATACATCAACAGTACAAAATTGTAGGATTTAGAATTATCCATTTTAAACTTTGAATATCACACCTTTCTTGAATTTACAAATATTTAGGGATAAAAATTGCTAAATTGGCATATTTAAAAGTAACAGGAAAATGTTTTTAATTTTTCTCTATGGAAAGTGGGAAATTTTTTTATTAGACAAGCAAAATTTGAATTTTTCTTTTAAAAGGGGGGATTTCAAATTTTTTTTCTCGTATTAGAATTTTTCAAATTAAAAGAAAACAAAGAAAATTTAAAATTCCTACTTCTTTCTCTCATACCCCATAAGATTTACTCCTCATACATCATCACAAACTCTGTTATGATCTCAAAATATTATATTATTATATTCATAAATCTTATACTGGTCTCTTTGGAAACAACAACAGGTTGATTTTGTAAACATTTTTCAACACCTGGATGACCTGCCATCGAAAATTAATTATGAATGTGGAGTTTTGATGCTGTTAGACTAAAAAAATCAAAGACTTTCCTTAATGAGGCCCATTCTGTTAAAGACCATAATAATTAAACTCATGTAAAATTGAAATTATTTCAGGGTTTCAGAAATTATGCATCCTTTAATTTCTCTCCAGTTTGACAAGGCGTTGACTGTTGCTCAAGCCAGGCTCAAGGGCGACCCAAATCTCAAAGCAGAGGATCACGAGGCCCTCATTCGCCTTCTCCGTGGCGGCCTTCTTCGGGCCCGCGGCGAAGACAAGGCGTCCCTGGCCCATTTTGAAGCCGCCGCCAGACTGCGAGCCGTCAACGATCAACACATTGTCCCATTTGCCACCTTTGAACTCGGCCTATTGGATTTGAAGAATGGACACGCGCAAAACGCCATGGGGCTATTCAAGCGCGCTCTGACGCACAGGCAAAAGTACTTTTTTGAAGTTCGGTTGCAATTCCGGATAGATGCCGCCACTAGGCTGTTTCAGCAGGTCAAAAGCAAGAACGGTCGCAAATTATCTTTGCGTTGATGAATCGAGTTATTTTTCCCGGGTCTCGTGGGAAAATGAGTTTTATTTCTTTAGCTCAATAAACGATTGATTCATTCAGAAAGACGCATTTTTTCACAATTGAAACGGCTGAATTGGAAGACTTTTTAGAATTATCAATGATTATTCCGTGGTGAATTGAGTAGATTAGTATAATAGGTGCCTTGAAAATAATTGAAGTGCGGCTCTCGGCACAATTTTTAGGTGGATTCAAGACAATTTTGCTTGAAATTTTAAGATTATTTCGATAGTATTTGTAAAACATGATTCAAGTTTATTTCATCATTTATCCCTTAGACGTTTCTCGGAGATCCGGAATAGATTTGGAGTTTCACTCCTAAAAATGTTATAAAAATAATGTTCCTCGACAATCTCAGTATAACGAATTTCAACTTGGTTACGTGGGCATGGGCCACAGAAATTTCCATATTGTGCTGAATTCTAAAGCTTGAAAATTAAATGCTACTTTTTTAGTAGAGAAAATTTAGCATTGCAGTAAGTGTGAAGCTAAAATCAAATATTGATCAGTTTCATGCACGTAATATCAGGGAACTTTGAAAAATACTTCATAATTGTGATCATGGGACTAAATTTTCAGAAAAATTCGGACTCGAGTTTAGTGGGAGATCTACAAAGGCGTTCACAACGAACCAACCTCGTTTAGATTTTTCTTTCTTTACAATAATGATATTTTTCAATCCTGTAATTTTTTCTTAGAGCATACTTTTCAGACATAGCGTTTTTTTAAATTATGTGTGCAGGGGCCAATATTGTGCCGAATTGACAAAGCTTCGAATTAAACAAACGCTGATTTTTTTTTTTACAGAAAATGTATAATCCCACGAAGTGTGAAGATCAAAATTTCATCAACTGTTGTAGTATATATATATATATAATTCAGAAATGGCACATTTTTGCAAATGGCAGAAAAATACGATAGATTCAGGAAGATACTGCTCCATTTCAGGGAATATAAAAACTTTTTACTGAATGATTCGGTTTTCTCATGTACAGTAAAAATTTCTAATTTTTTTTTGCTTATACTTCTGCAAGTTCAGTATTTTTTATTACGTTCTGTTTAATTTTCGTTATTTAAATTGAATTTCACATTTTAAACTCGAAACAAAATTTAATATTTCAGATGAACCATCCAGAAAATATTCGATCCACAGAAAATAAAGCCTTCGAAGCTCGCGGTTCCATTCAAAAGTCACGTCACATTACCAAGAGAACAATCATCACGCACAACTTTTCGCAATAACACCCATCACGCACTTGCCCAGAAATGGAGTAAAATTCACGCATCAAATCACGACCAGAAAAGAAAAAAAAATCAAAAAGAAAAATCAGGTACAGTACGTTAAATCGCAGGACGTAAAAACCACCTCTACACTTGTTCAACCACCCCTTTTCTTTTTCAGAAAACCTTTAGCCTCCCATTCTCGTCAAAGCCAGCCGAATGACCTCCGTTGCGAACCACAAAACTCGTGGGGTCCTTGTGCAAACGTTTCTCGCCGCGTTTCACAAACAAATGCGTGCTTCGACCCAATGTGGCAGTGGAATGCACCATCGGGGTAGACAACAAAGCCGTGCCACTGTTCACAGCAGTCTTGAGCTTCCTCTTCACCGGCGCCCCTTCCTCGTCTTCTGAGTCTCTGGTAACCCTACATATGCACGCGAAAAATAAAAAAATAAAAAGAAATCGGAAAAATGCGACCCTAAAATCTCAATTTTCGGATGTTTCCAAAGCATTGCTTCTACGGGAATTCAGACAGGGTTCCTATTAATAAAAAATTGATATGGAAGGTACAAGCGTAATCAAAACCTCAAACCCCATATGCCAAAAAAAAAAAAAAAAAAAACACTCACGTCAGAGACGCCTCATCACTTTGCACAACACGCACGTCATTGATCGTCCAGACCTTCGTGTTACCCTTGGAATAGTGTTGAAAGCGCTCTTTGAGAATTTCATAGCACTCTTTAAACGCGACTTCGCCGTGACAAGACCCACTGAGGAACACGACAGACGTGGCAAACGCAGGTGCACTCATTTGCCGGGAAAACCTATCCGCCGTAGTTCTCGTTCCTCCTGCTCAAAATGAAAAGCAACCAAATAGTTGAAAAAAGAAATATAATTTTGAGCTTGACCCTGAAATGAACCTTCGTCAACGAGGTACACGAGCGACGATCGTTCAGACGTGAACGAAACTCCCTTGTACCACATTTTAGCGTACTTGTTGTTCCCGTCCGATTCGTTGATCATAATTTCGACGCGATTGTTGTGTTGGTACACGCGACCATTGGGATGAACCATTGCTGCAGATTGACCAGACGCGTCCAGTGCCAACAAGATGTTGCTCTGGATACGCATACATAATGATTTAGTGCTGCGGGGCTTAGTGCGACATCTACCCAAAATCCGCGCAACATTTCGCGGGAAACTACGTGCTCGCGATCGCAGGGTGCGCATCAACTTTGTCTCAATGCGATAAAATCCCCGAAGCGGATCGCACCCCACTCTAGCTTTCTTACAATTGCCCGAAGACGGCGTTTGTCTCAATAATAAAAAATCGTACTAACTTGGTAGTTGAGAACACGAATTGCAGAATCGCAGGTTATTTCAACCATGATGAAGCGGTTAATCCATAGGGCAATTGTGCCACGTGTGGTGACGTATGGCCAACCGGGACCAACCATACCGCGAAAATCATCCAGGCTGCGAGATTTCATCTGAAACGGGATAACGTATTATTTTCACAGCAGGCCCACGAATAATTAATTCGCTTCAGAATCGGTCGCACTTTTCTTAATCTAACGCTGACAGTTGGAAACTGTTGGGATCAATTTAGTTTATCGAGCCAGAAAAATCGAAGTCCTGTGGGTTTCCATTGTAGGAAAAATAAGCTTGTTCAAAGAATTTTTAGACCAGTGAGAGAAGGCCGTAATAAGTAATTTTATTGAACCTTGAAGGCACTTTTTCCTAATTTATTTCGAAATATTTATCAAGCTAGCATATATTGGATTTTTGACAAATTATAAAACATTTCAGCCGTTTCTCAAGATGTCAAGTGCATTTGAGCTTTATATCCGAGTGTTATCATGAAGGAATCATGTTTCCACAAAAGCTTCCACGTAACATTTTCAATGAGGAAGAGTGTAATGCAAAATATTTTCAATAATGTAAATTCAAAAATAAATTTTTCACAATTATCCCGTTTTTAATTAACATGGGGATTTGATTCCCATTTAAAAGTTTCATTACCCCCAAGATATTCTTGGGAAAATGGAGGGAGATTTGTACCAGGGAAATTTGTGGCACTCTTTATGTGAGGGGGACACTAAATTGAGGGTTGACTGTATTTAGTCCAGATGAGGAAATTGTAGAATGAAAGCTGGAAAACGCAACATTACATCATTAAATTGTTCGAAATTATCGAAACTAAAAACAGACTCACAGGCTCAGATGGAGAGCGCAGCAATGGTGGAGCAGGTGGTTTCAGCCCATCTCCAGGATACATGGATCCCGGCATCGGAGGATAAGAAATACGTTTCCCAGTCCTGGACAAATATGCCTGGTTGATCCCCTGAGCAAATTGGGTCCCAGCAGATAGACCTGTCGCTTGCTTTCCATGATCTCTGAAAACAAACAACCAAGAATAAATTGTTGCATCAAGTTTTTAGTTCAGTTTCAAGAAATTTGAATTAACATTTTACAGTGATTCTTTAGAAATTTCTTTTGAAAGTCACCCATGGTCTGGTAAGTGCATTAACAAAAATATTACAATAATATTTCACCTACAGCGAATGTTGAATGTCTTGGGACAACATTTTATTACACTGGAGCGATTCATTTGTTGCAGCAAGATTTTAAAAGATCTTACATACAGTATCAGAATACCTTAATTTTCAGAAAATTATTTCTATGCTAAGATTTATTTAAATATCCTGCTAAGTACAATTCAACCTCATTAACTTCAACCAAACTCAATTGTAAAACTTCCTGTCAATTTTTTCCAAGTTCACACTCAAAACTAGGGCTTTTCACATCAAATTTCTGGATGATTTTGTGCAATCTTCTGAAGGGGACCCAGGAAAAAGAAAGGCAATAAAATTAACTTGATGCTGAAAACAAGAAAGAGTGACTAATTGGGCAGATGTACCCTCGCTTCCAAGTTCATCATCCTGTCAAATCATTCGAGGCTCAGATCACCAATTTTACCTCCTTGTAATTCCCCACAGAAACGCTGGTTTATCGAGGTAAAAAAATTAATGAAATCAAAATTTGTGGAACCCTCTGAATATCACCTGGAGATGTTTGACTCAGGAGGAATAAAATTTTCCATTGAAATTTCAGGCAAGAAATTAGAGGGAGGCATCATCGATTCTAGAAAAACCCACCATCACGAAACTTACGTTGCTGAATATGGGCAGCGCAGGTGGTCCCCAAACACTGGATCAGGTATCCCAGGACCCAAGAGCCCTCCAGAATGGCCCACATACTCTCCACCCATCAGTCGATTTTGCTCCGGGGCAAATTGTTTAGACCGGATCAAAGTTTGCGCATTCCACGCATTCGGCTGCCAATAAGACCTGATCAGCTGACATCTAGTTATGTGAGCCGGGTTCATCCCACTTCCAAATCTCGAAGCCATAGGCATTTTCAGCAAACCAGAGCCAGAAACATCGTTCACAGCATAGCTTGACATAGTCCCGGATTCTGTAGAAAGCATTAAAAACAGGTCCAAAATCGCAACAGGGAAAAATTTGAAATCAGGAAAATGTGCGTTATTGTTGAACAGATCTACATTGTTACGAGCCACTGCATTTTTCAGTCCTTAAATTTAATATGCAACTATTTATTCAAACACTTCGATACCGAACTAGTCATAATGCAATACCTACTATATTATTTATGAATTGATGATCAACTAGTTTAAACCAATACCCAACCATTTTCATCCAATGCCTAAATAATTTAACCCAATATGTGTATGTAACCTAATAAATAGTAATACATAATCTTACAATCTATAAGTTTCAACCTGTTAAACAGAATCTTTAAAATTGCTGAAATGCCAAAAAAGTGAATAAATTGGTAGCAGTGCCATCTACCTAGAATGACCAATCGCAGGTGGTATAAAGTCTAAGAACTATAAATAATCGACTGTTCAGCAATATAACACTTCAGAAAGATAAAAAGTTCAACCTGTTGAACATAATATTTCAGAAGATACAGCACTACTGAAATGTGGGAAGATATGAAAATTGGTAGCAGTGACATCTACCCACAATTGTATGCGGTCTGCAACGCTGACTTCAGTAATGTACTGTATCACTCAGTAAAATAATTTCAATCCCATTAATAAGGGTCCCATCAGATTCCCATGAGAAGCCCATTGTAAAGATACATGGAACAGTTAAATTCTGAACATAATATCTTAGAAACACTCACGTTGACAGAAATCGCCACGATTTTCCTCCAGCATCCCAGCTCGAAGACGGAAACTCTCTTGTGATTGCAACGCTGAACCATCTTCCACAGAAGCCTGATCACACTTTCAAAAGAATTTAAAGAAATTAACAACTAAGGTTCGAAATAAATTCAAACTCACCTTCATTTCCCAGGGTTGATGACGAGAACCGACGGCATTCATGTCAACTTATTTGTCCTCGGGTTTCGTTCACAAATTTAGGTCGTAAACTTTCGCAGAATTTGAAGCGATTGAAACATAAGCGTTCCGAGTCAAATGTGAGTTTAGGCGTCAGACGGATGAAGGACGATCCGCCTTTCGCGTAAGACTGGAATTTGCTTGAATATCCAGCTTGAGCGTTTTCGCAGATTATGGTTTAATCGTAAATGATTTACTGTTCTTCAATTCCGGGGATCTGAGCTTCCATCGCGCAACTAAGCTGAACCAACCTGCATAAGTTTTTAATTCACGATCCAACCAAGCAGTGGGCGTAATAGTCCATCTGGTTAGTTTTCGCGTGAATTGAGCGAAGTACAGGTTTCTCCAACTAAGATCAATCCAATGAATTTACGAAATCAAGCTATAGTCACTATAGCTATGCGAATATAAGACACCATAAAATTTATGCAGATGAATCAAATGGTGTTTCAAATCACAATGTTAAATTTTACAGAAAATGCTACGAAGAGGCGGGAAATAATCCTTGATCTGAACTCGATGTGATAAGATTTTAAATGTTTTTCTCGGTGAATGAAAAAAAAAAATCGAGGAAATTCCAAGCATCGAAAAACGGGAAATCGCGTCTTTCACTAGCTGAAATGCAGTACTGTAGTGATCTCAAATTTCCCCGAGATGCGATCCAATTCCAGGAGTAACCGAAGATCGTCACACCAGAATTTCTCCCAGCCATACAAAAAATAATCACAGCATCCATCACTTGAGACGTATAATTCGTTCAGCATAAAATCGTTTCTCCGTGCAAACCACAAGGTGCATTGATCACCAGTTGATCAAGCAAAACGAATATAAATAAGCCACTCTCTCACACACTTCAACAGAAATTCGCATAACCACCGCACGGTATCGCAAATCGGGAGTATCTCGCGGAGATAACCCCGAACACCCTCAAAGGAAACCCGTTGTACCAACGCATTCGTTGGCAAAAAAAAAATGACAAGTGATGATTTCAACTTCTAAAGATCACCATGAATATCTTCAGCGCGCACACCAACAAATATGAGTTGATCCGAAAGTTTCGTCAAGCGCATCGTTCATCTCATATTCGGGGATAGACACACACAGTGCTTTCAGCCAACTCGAACCCCACTGCAGGGCGCTGTACTCAAGTTAACGACTACGTAAATAGATTCATTTCCCCAGATGCGGGCTTCAGTGACAAAACTTTCGATTCAACACTTGCAAATCAGCACAAATTACAGCAATTTTTTTTTAGATACCGCGCACGAGAGTTAAACAGGCATTCCGTTTAAAGCACGCGTTGGCATCACAGCCATTACGATCCAAGCTTACACCCTCGTCCGAGCTCTCAAGAGTGAACAATGGAATGCACACTATAAATTATTTCCCTTTTTTCTAAACGTGTAATTCCTGCACGGAATGATGAATACTGACACACACAAGAAGAAATGCAGCCCAGCGTCAAGATGATAACAGAAGTTCAGTACAGTAAATGGAAAATACCGCAATCGCAGCGCTTGCGTGGAGTGGGTGGATACCGCACTTATTCGAAAATAACAAAATCGATTTTGACATTTATCTACTTATCTGCCCGTGAAAAAAAATTTGCCAGTCAACTCAATTCATTCAAAATCATCGAAGTCTGTGGTCATGTTTCACTCGGCAGCTTGATTTCCTCAAAAACTTGAAAAAGGTGGTTTCAGATTCGCAAATTAAGTTTGCGTTTGTTTCTGACCAAGAATTTACACCGTTTTCATGCAAAAATTGAAGCAGAGAAAACCTAACAATTTTCAGCATGAGAGTCAGTTTTTTTTTCAAGTTTTTGAAGAAACCAAGCCACCAAGTGAACCATGACGACACGCTTCGGTGATTATGAAACGACGATGGAATCCGATATCATAAAAAATTCACCCAAATTTTCTAAGCCAATTTTACCACGCTGCACTAAAAACTAACCTCTTACATTCGAGTGAATACGGTATCGGCCTTCAGAAAATAATCATAAAATGTACGGAGAGTTCCAGAATTTTCACAGGTAAACCGGAAGAATGCGCCAAGCGAATATTCTCCCGTCTTCTCTTCAGCTATACGCACACACTACTGCAAAAGCTGCGTTTCGCGTTTCACAAAATAGTAAATCGTCTCCACGATAAAAGAAAAAAAAGAACTCCCGAAAAAATAGCACGTTCACTAAGACTCTTCGACACTCTCCGAATTGTTGCAAATAGCTAAGTAATAGACCTTGCGAATGCTGAAAAAGCAGTGAAGATTATGCACTACAGGTCCCGTGCTCGCTTGAAAACCAGTTGGGTGACAAAAAAAAATCAAATTGCCGCACGACAATAAATACTTTCGAATACGCAACCACAGACTTCTCAGCACTCCCTTACTTTCCCCGAGTCACCAATGCGGACACGTACCAAACCTTCTTACGCAGGGATTCTAAACCACAAAAAAAAGAGCAGATAGTGGGTTCAAGCACAATTTCAACTGCTGTACTTTAATAAGATTTCCTTGGAAATTGAAGAATTAGTGTAACCTGTAATAGCTGCTAAATTTTTGGACTTCAGCAGCAGAACACACAAACTCAACTTCTCATGATTACACATTCGTTCGTTTGAACAAGTAATTTGAAATTGCGTGGAAAAAATATTCCTCTGCAACATGTTCCTAATATGTTCAGTCAACGTAGAATAACATTACTTCACTTTTTCATCATACGAAAAAAGACATTCTGGCGTTATTATGATACTGAATATTCAACTTGGAAAATTAATGTTTTCCTACCCCGTGGCATGCAGTCTTTCTGCGCACATATCACATCAGTCAGTCACTGACCTTAAAACCTGCAACTTTTCTTATCCCTCTTCGACTTAAAACTGCACGCTCAAGCTCATATGAAACTGGACAATTTTTTTTCCGGGCAACAATACTACCGGGAGACGAAAAAGGTTGAACTTTACTTGAACTCACCATCAGCGCTCAATCGATCAATGCAAGGTGGCAAAAACAGTCGTTAAATCCTAGCCCAAGCGACGAGGAAGACGAAGACACACGAGTGCTCGAGTCTTCTTTTAGCTTTCTGTACGCCACAAATATTACTTCCTCTTTCCCGCCGATTTTCAAGATGCACTACCGACGACGCTGCCATTCAGTGCCGACGGTAGCTCTTTGAATTTTGCGTAAGCCGATGCGAGCAGAGCGTATGTGTCTCGGGACGTCATCGCCTGGACTTCCGCGTATTTACATATGGCGTCCTGCATCTCCTGCACCCTGGCCCTGTGGTATTTCTTGATCTGTGGAAAGGGACACACGAAAGTAATTCTTTGATTAATACCCGCCTTTCGAACCCAGGGGTACAGAAAACAATCGTTTACGCAAAATATCGTAAGTCACTCATCACCAAACGCAAATTTGAACTTCGGAAAATTTTTCTTACTCGTGAATCTAGGATTAAGGTGCACCTCCACCTCATTTTTAACACTATCCCACCGCTCAAAGAAAAGGGACAAAAAATGAACGTTGATACGAAATCTTTTAAAATATAATGGAGAGCAAAGACGAACTTAAATTGAAGGCTAACTACAATCTTCCAGGAGATAATATTTCAGCAATCTATATGAATACCAACTCCCTGACGAGAAAAAAATCAACCAGATGATATCTTACTTTTGCAATTCGTATACATTTTTGCGTTTAGTTCGTATACTTTAAACTTTTCCCCAGTGTCAATACGATTTTCAGAGAGGCAATGAATTTAAATTTATAAAAATTATTTCACCTTCTTTGAAAATCCAAAAATCAACACATGGGGTGCAAATTTTTTTCTCGTCTCATAGTTCGCAAAAGAAGTGCCATTTTTAGCGTAAATACGCCGAATTATCACCAATAATGGGTTTTTAGAGAAGTATGCGCTTCATTTTTCAAGTGAACTTAGAAAGATAGAATGGGCCGATTTAAAAAACATCAGGAAGGATATTTTTGATGAACTATAGTTAAGACTATGGAGCACTTCCAAATTCCAACATTGAAAGCTTGACATGAATGATTGCAAAAAATGAATCCTCCAGCTCTGGTGCAAATTAATCGGCCTGCACACAGTAAGAATCATCCTCAATTACTCACCTCAAGACTAGCAACGTCGGAACATTCTTCAAACGCCTTCTCAGCATCCTTCTTCAGCTTCTCTGCCTAAATACAGAAAAAAAAAGTTCATATCGAGATGCATTCAAAGATATCCTATGAAAAGGGGGGGGGGGGGGGCTTTCAAGTGTCAACGTACAGCTTCCTTCTTGTGTGGTTTGGCCCGATCCAGGTTCTTGTTCGAGGTTTCGTAGTCCACCATCAAGCACGTTCTCCGGAACAACATCCCGTTGAGGGACTCCACCGACCTCGCATACCAGTCCAGACACATACTCAGCGTTGCTTCGTCGTTGTACGCCATCACCTCGAATCCTTCCTTTATTGCACACAGGAAAACAGTTTAAATACACCTTTTTTTCGAAACCGAAAGAGTAACACACAAGTTCAGCAGCATTCCATTTACTCTGTAAATGGAATTTCAACTTGACACTTTTCCAAGTTCAGAAGTTTACTGTACTACGTTAGACGCAATGTGTTATTTGTGGAGCGGTTGAACATTGATACCTCGGACCTCCCGAAGTAGAATTTTTTTCAAGTCCCTGTCTAAATTCTCTTACAAAGAAAAGATGCATTACAGTAAAAAGCTTCCCAATTTTAAAGCTTTCCCCGCTTTAACCTCAACAACTCGAATTTTCCGAACGCCTTTTCGTAATTATTTATGCGACACGGAAAAGAAAAAAGCAATAAACGTGTAACTTGAGACTTCTTTTTATAAAAAGTGAGACTCATTGGGCACATTAACCCTTGCCTCCAAGTTCAGCGTCCTGTCGAGTTTTTTACGAAGCGGTTTTAGGCCAAACAGGATAATTTCAACCTCCTTCAGTTCTTGTATTATTTTCGGCAAAAATTGTGTTTTCTTCAACTCGAAAACTCCTCAAGTCGAATTTTTTCGCTTGGAATTTGACTTGAAGATGTTTCAACTATACCTGTATCAATAAGCCAAGTCCATTTATTTAAATTCAATTATTCAGTCGTTTCAAATACTCTCAACTTCTACTGTTGGTCACACGAGGGGAACTGTGAGTTCTTTGAACAAAACATGAGAAAAATGGAATTAATATTTTTCAAGTTCGCTTCCGCTCACAGGTAATCAATTAATAGAATAAATAAACAAATCGCTCACTTTCACGGCTTCCAAGGCATCAGAAAACCGCGCCTGGAACTGGTTATGGAAAGCGTTGGCTCCAGTATTCGGATACAAACAAAAGCTCAGTGCTGTTGTTAAATGCGTCAGCTGCCCACACATTCCTAAGCAAAGTAATCATTCATTAATCGCACGAGTTCCGCGACACGACACTAAGAAAAATGTTGACAAATCATTGAAACCGAGAGATCCTGAAATTATCTACATCAAATTTTGATACGAAATTTTAAAAATTATGTCATGTTGGTCAGAACTCAGAAGCAATAATACACTCGCTGCGAATCTGAGATGCCGTCAATTATGAAACGCCATACAATTTTTTTCAATCTAAACAAATTTTCAATGAGCTACATTTTTAATGAAAAAAAGTTCGTTTACAATCGCGTAAATAAAATACACAAGTACTGGTATGCTAATAGCCCCTCAAAAATTGTTTTGAGTCTTGCACGTGAATCGTCCTGTTTTAGAAAATCCCGTCACAACGAATGAGTTTTCAAGGTTTCCGCTCTGTTACACAGACTTCGGTACAACGAACTTATAGTTACGACTGAGCTTTTTTCCCCAGGTCCCGATGGCTTCGTTGAGATATTGTTTTTAGTTCATATTTTTCTTTCTTCGACTGATTGTTACTTACGGCATTCGGCAGCGACCAAATCATCGAACTTGTCATTAGCGTCGCTGATCATCGGCCCGAACTGCGTCAACCAGTCCCGTTGCTTCTGAAAAAACTCGTCGCAATCCGGATGCGTCGCGCGACGGGCGTCCAATGAGTCTGACAACCTGGCAAGGATCCCCTTCTTCACCTTTGCCCTCGCCGGAGGATCCGGTTTTGTCAGGAACTCCATCAAGGCCACGTCTTTGCCTGAATTTAAAAGAAAAAATTGAAACGCATGTTTTCCCAGATATGCGACAGTTAGTGTTCAAGTTTCTGTACGGCGCTCTCCTTTTTTCGACAATTATGAAGAAAATTAATTTTTTGAAAAGAGACGGACAAAATTTTACTTCCTTAATTTCAGAATGATTTTAATCGAATAAAAAATTGTACTGATGTGAAGAATCCGCCAGAAGTACTTCATTTACTTGAGTACCTCGAATAACTTTTTCTCAAATCGAGAGGAAAAAAGGAGAGGTGAAAATCATGGTACTGTATAATATTTTTGACAAGTTTTACAATATTTGGTGCACGTTTTACTTCATCCGAATGGGAAATTTTGGACCAATTTGAACGGAACAACTTTCAAACAGAGAAGTTTGAAAATTAATCGAATTCAGTTTCAATTCAGGCATAAATTTAAGTTCTGGTGCGCTTATTCTTTCTAAATGGTTAATTTACTAAAATGGGGTGCGCGTCTTGATAGTGGTTGGAAATCTTAGAATTTCGTCAAAATTTTACGCTGAAGAATCCGGGTGAGTGTCCTGCTTGAAGACTCATGGAACTCTAAGTACTGTATACACAGTACTCGTTAACAATATTGTACTTCGATAGATCATTTCTACGAAAATAATTGGCAACGATCTTCCCTTCATTCCAGCACAAATTTTGTTCAATTGAGTAGTTTTTTTCTTATAGAATCAATTAAAATCTTACAGAAAATGTCTCGGGAGTAAAAGTTTCCTCACCCAAGATCCTGTGCTTTAGCAGAGCAATTAAAATCTTACAGAAAATGTCTCGGGAGTAAAAGTTTCCTCACCCAAGATCCGGTGCTCCAGCAGAGCATTTACATAGCGCTGAAGTTGTCGACAACTGCGACGATACTCGTCACCCAACAACCCGCGTGAACAGGAGCCGAGCACTCTCCGCGACGCCTCTTCCGCCTTTGCGGCGTCTATTGGAGGTCGCGGCGGCATTGCCGGCGCCACAACTCCGTCCACCCGCGACGACGTTGATACGCAGTGCTCTAGGTACTCGAAGTCCTCGTACTGACGCTTCACCGTCGCCGCTAATGACCCCGTCTCCAGCTGCGAAATAACACAGAAAATACGAATCACAGGGACTGAAAAGGGACCATAGTAGAAAAGAGAAATACGATAACTCTAAAGCGGACCAACTCGAAAAAAGGACGAATTGGAGAGACTACGTATCTCCTAATAATCTCGCAAAATATCTTCAGGTCGATATAAACGGACAGCATGGATAGGTCATGAGAGCTTAGTACGTCGTACCTGAATATCCTTATTGCATGGAAGATTACACACACTCGTGAAAACCAGAACTCACATCAGTAACATTCAGGGTGTACTTCAGGATTTCTCCATCCTTGATGACGTTATGGAGTACCTCGACGCGGAAACGAGGCCGAAATTCTTCGCATTGTTCCGGCGTAGATGCGTCCGATGAGCGACTGTCGACATCTTCGCCCTCCTTATCTTCACCCACCGCTGCCATGTTTCCACACTCTTAAAAACCAGTCTACCGCGGAAGAAAATTAATGGGTGATGAAAAGCATGAATATCAACAAGACGCACGGGTAGAGAACTCAGTTTGAAAAACCAGTGAAATCCTCAAATTTGTCACTAGATATCATCCTAAACGTCAAGATTCGTAATCGAGGTAATCGCATGACTTTTTTCGGACTTGAAACTGGCATACTTGACGCACGATCCGGCGTCTACATTCTTCCGAAGTTGATACCACGATGAGAAAATACTGTAGATCGGTCAGACTTCAGTCTTCACGCTTGGAAAAATGTCTTTCCGAAAGATCATTTTAAAGTGAACTGAAACTGCAGTAAGATCTTCAAGAAACAGGATTGCATCAGACACGGACGTCCGAAATTACTTCGTCTTTCCCACGCAGAACATTCGGCTTAGTAAGATTGAAGAGTAAAGTACTCCTTCTATTCACGAACACAGACGTATATTCATTGAAGTCAGGGCATAACACACAAGGATAAGTCAATAGGAGAGGGGAGTTGCTTGGTCAAAGGCTCAGACTGAAGTGGGGATTGTGGGGCTCCTTCCGTCGGCTTCTCCTCCAGTGGTTCTGATGATGGTGCAATGTTGCTCAAGGATTGGGGTGGGGACTTTGGACGTTTGCCCTTACGCCAGTACGGGCGTCTAGATGTCGCCCTCTTATTGGAAGGGGCACCCTTACT